GACAGTGCTTAGAAAAACATAATGGTTGTTTTTCACTTCAATGGAAATGGAGCATGAGTGGCTGTAGCAGATGAAGTCAGCTTGATGGCAACAAGAACAGAGGGAACTTTTGGTTGGTGGTGACTTACGACAGATCTTTGGCAAAAAATGTTTTTACTTATTGGTATTCATTAATCTCATGTGAAATTGGGAGGACTCTTAATCCAATTATGCATCCAAAACTGTATATTTCTTTGACATCAATCATGACCAGTCCGTGCATTAAGACAATGTTTGAAGATAAAGAAATCAAAACCCAAATGTAATTCCTCGCGCTAAAGATGTTTAATGCAGGTTTTAATCTTTTCACAATAAATCTCACCTGTGGCGTTCAAATTCAGAGCAAGTTTGCCCTCGGCTAAAAATAAACAGGGAAGAGTAAGTGGGGATCCATCACTATTTCAGAAATATGTAGAAGAAATGGCACATCCACAACCCCCTTTCATCATGTGTCTTAGCAAACATCAATTGTCAACAATGACTTCTTCCAAGAGAAATGCCATTAGTTTATGTCGCTGCGGACCCTGACTCCTGAAACTCCACAGCTTGACATATTTCCACTTTATCTATAAGTTATACAGACAAAAAAAAAAGTGTGAATTAGAGGCTGTTTGTAGACTCTTTCTACCTTTTGAAAAAGCCAGGCTAGCTGTCCCTGCCTTCACTTTATGCTAAGCTAGGCTAACGGCCCCGTGGTCAGAGTTCAGTAATTATCGTCCAGACTAGGAGCAGGGTTGATCCTTACATCTCACTTGTGGAAAAAGTAAACAAGTTATTTTAACATAATTATGAGCTATTCTCTAAATGTTCACAACACACCGATTATTCAATTGGAAACAAAGTAACCCATTTCAAAAGTCTACTCTGATTCTGTATTTAAGTATCAGTAACATATCATTCATGTGTTATTTTGTCCCCTTTAATTGTTAACACATAGAAACCCTTACCTAAGCGTTTTCTCTCTCGTCCCTCTCTCTCTCTATATATATTGTTTTAAATCTCTCTCTCACATTTCCTGTCCACTATTCTGAGACACTGGTTATGTTTTCTCTCCCCTCTCACGCTACACTCATTCAAACTTCTCTTCAACCCAACAGACACACGGACAGAGAGGAAGCTTAATTGGCCGTTATGTCAGAGGTCTTTGTACATGCTCTCAGCACTTCAGATAAGTATCACTAAGTGGTGCTTTTAGAAACATGGATCTTTATCATTCACTGAGAGACTAAAGCACGGTTTAATGAGCCCTTTACACTGGATGTAGTAGCCCCACCCCTTTGATCAAAATCACACCCATACCAATCACTTTTGCTGGGAATTTTGAAGATTTCTGTCCGGTCTGTGTGCTCCTTTCAATGGACGATGTTCAATCAGATTCAAAATATGTGTTGCTTTTATTCCTGCCAGGTCTCTCTGGAAAAATATGAAAATCCAAAAGGAAAAAATATTCAGAGTAATTGCAAGTACTGATGATTGTCATCATTGATAAATCAGCCAATCATTATATATATTAATTGCTTTCTCATTGGGTATATGACATGTCAAACTTGTTCTTTGTTTCAAATTTATATCAGAAATGGGAGAAGCTAAATGTCCAACTCGAGGACCAGAAAAGTTGAGTCTTTTTTGAACGTTTTTGAATGATAAAGAGCGTAGACCTCTACAAAGGCCATTTACTGAGATTATAAGAGTTGGTCCAGATATGGTTTTATGAGAATTAACCTCTCAGTTATGTATTTATTATGTACTTTCTATCGGAAGTATTAAGGATACCTTACTTTTGCAAAAATAACTTTTCCACCAAGTTGTAATGAAAATTAGGCGAGTAGTTTTTCATTGATAATTCTGACAAACAGTCAAACTCACAGACTGCACACTAACATAACTCCCTTGAATGGAGGTAGGAAAGGCAAATTAAATGACATCACAACAGACAGTGAAACATTTTCTGAAAGTCTGATCAAACCAATGATTTATCAGCTGATCATTTCGAGGTAGTAGAATACATACCTACAGAAAGTTACTTAGACGAGGCAAGAAAGATAAAATCAACAAAAGTGATGTCAGGTCAGTGGATCAGATCTTCAGCCTGTCTTTAGAAAAGGGATTTTAAATTATATTTAATACACCAACCATGTAACGACCAGGAAACAGATCCTACTTTGACCAAAATTACTCAAACAACCAACATTACTCAAACTTCCTAAACATACAGTGAAAAACACACACACACACACACACACACTCACACTCACACGCACACAGCTCTCTCACACACGCACACACAGAGACACACAGTATTGGGTGTGGTGGATGTTGTGGAATGAGTTTTTAAAAAAAGCCCTGTTGTTGGTCTCTGATCCCATTAGCTCACTTTGTTTCATCGTTCCTTTCTTCCTGTATTTCGTTGTTATATTATTTATGTGCCCTTCACTTCCTTTGTGGAAGTTGGAACAGAAACCTGGGAAAAGGAGAGGGCGGGACTTCATGGTTACACTGACAGAGAGGCCAAGCAGGGCTAATAAGCTACAGCCAAGAGATTTGAAAAGCACTTCTGGAGGGATTTGTGAAATATTTAGCTGTCATTTATATCTGATAGAACCACAGGGATGGAAGGATGGCTTTAATAATAGAGATTTAAATACTCTGCAGGGATTCACTGTAAGCTTCAGTATATTTCACTTTTGAGCAAGGCACAGAATGCTGACTAACGCAAGGTGTATATTCTGATATACTAGGGTGTATTAACGTCTGTTAAGGAATATCTGACTTAAAAATAAATCATAGCCTAATTTTTCATCCGCTGTCACCCCAACATACAGCCCCAGTTTCAGAGCCACTTCATCTCCAAATTCTGTTTGAAGATATCATAAAATGTGTATTTGAGTTGCCATGTTACTCCCACAGTGTCTTAGAGTAGTATGACTTATTTAGAGGCCGTTTGTTCCAAATACACTGATCATCAATAATGAATTGAGTGCTGATTAATATTTTCTTCTTAAGTCTGTAGTCTGGAGTTGTTCCTTTGTGTGTATGTCTGTGTGTTTTTGGTGTGTGTGTGTGTGTGTGTCTGTCTGTGTGTGTGTGTGTTTGTGTCTGTATGTGTGTGTATGTGTGTGTGTGGTGCTCTGTCATCACTCTGAAGGGATATCCCAGAGAAGCATGTTGCTCCGGGCTTGTTTATGTTCCGTGTGCTGCGTGGGTTATGTACATTGCTCTGTATTTATTTCAGTGTATCCTGAACTTAAACAATCTCCTCTCTTCTCATACTTATTTTTATATTGCAATATGGACAGTTAAGCTCCGTGGATTGAAATGTTAGAGTTTGCAATACCATGTGACTGGGAACAGTCCTAACTTGTCTGTCTTGTAATCATATTTATGATCACTTTAACTTTTCACTTTTCCTACATTTATTACACAGCTGTGTTGAATACTTGATTCTGATTGGTCAATAACTGCATTGTATGATCTGCTGCGGATCTGCTCGCCGTACGTTATTCTATACTTACCCAGCATCCATTATGTTGGAAAATATTTTTTTTAAATGAGTTTCTGATGAGGAAATGTCATGTTAAGAGTTTCATCGAGTCGAAAGTAGGACATACGTGTTTGATGGAAAGTGCTAAAGTCGGACATATATTAGTACAAAACCTTATGAACCTTATGGTCCAAAACTTTACACCACCTAATTTGGCAACTCTCGTCATCAGAGAGGCACATGAATGGAGGGTTAGCAACAGCATGTTAGCATTGTCAATCGTGAGCTTGGTAGCATGCTGGCATTAGCACTAGGCTTAAAGCATTGCTATGTCAAAGTACAGCCTCACAAAACTACTAGTTTAATAAATACTTGTGTCATTACGTCAACAAACATATCACGTCAGCACAATTTAAATAAGATGTGCTATCTTATACTGTATGCTTAGCCAACTCCAGCAAAAAGAGAAGTGTGGGCTTTATTCCTTTAAAAACAATTTCCAAATATACAATAACTTGTTCACAATATATATTAAAAACAATACACTGCTGCTTTAGCATGGCTATACACTCTCAGCCTTGTGTTTTTTTCTGCCAGAGGCACCATTTATTACAAACAACATCAAATCATTTTTTTTTTATAGAACAAAGTGCACACACAACAACAAAGCAGCACCCTGTGGTGCTGATAGCTCTTATCCTGTTTGGAAACATTTGTATTCACACCTCCACACATCTCCTGCTGTCTGTTTTAGTCATCCGTCTCTCCTGCCCTCCAGACAGAAGGTCGTGGAGTTGTTTTGTTCTGTTACAGTTTGGACTTGGTGGTGGTAAAATGTGTTATGATGAAAGCAAAACACAGTCGTATCAGCCTGATATTGAATGCAGTATTTTAGCCTCTAGTTATCTTCCTATTAAATGACTTCATGTGATTATCAACCAGACATACTGTGATGTATTGGCTTCTTTCCAGGAGTGAATTTAAAGAGTTACGTGCAATACGTCTCATTCTATGTCAGTGTCCATATGGGGGGAATAACACAGACTCAGATTTTCATTTCTGTCACACACAAAAAATGATTTTTCTTTTTGTGCGCTGCATATATACGGAATTATTTGTAACTCTGGTTTGCATTGTTTGTCTCTGCTTGTTCAACTTGACACTTGATGGTGTTTTCGTCTTCTAAATGTATTTAAATAAGAGCATAGATGTACAGAGACAGGGAGATGTGTACAGTCTGTACTGTAGAAGAGAACACTCTGTGCCGCCAGTAATTCATCCTGCCCCTTACTATAAATCTCACCAATGTGAACACTGACCACTGCTGGGCCTCTGTGGAATTTATTCCCAGCAGTAGTTGTCCAATAAAACGTCTTGTTGAATCTCTTAATGACTATATTTCTTTCTGAGGCACACCGTCCATACTTATGTAACCCACCTTTCCCTGTTTGTCTGCCCCTCCCTCCTGTCTGATTGTTAGGAGTCTCCTCAGGACAGTGCCATCACAAGGGACATCAACAGGACTTTCCCAGCTCACGACTACTTTAAAGACACTGGAGGAGACGGACAAGACTCCCTGTACAAGATCTGCAAGGTAGGACACACAAAAATGAGGATGTTTATTGTTTACATTACTGTTTAAAAATCAACGAGGGGCCATTATTGAAGTAGTAAAAATATAAAATCAAAATAAATTTTCTTTGGAGATCACTTTTCATTTAAAACAAATCTGAAAAACTGAAAAATAATGTAAAGAAAGCTTCATCCACAACTACAGCTGACTGTATCACACATTCCTTGTGGAAAATTGTCACAGCTTACAGTCAGAAGTATTCTGTGGAAGTGGCAGCAAAAAGTGAAATCTGTCAAATATTTGTTAGCATGAAAAGATAAGACGGATAAAAACAGATCTTGTAAGGATGGGCTGCAGGTGTGAAGGCAAATTGTCAAATTTCCCCCCTGACTATCTGGAATGTTTCCTTCCAGCACCCTTATAAAAAGTCTGCAAGAACCTTATCTTAATCCACCATGACCACAGCACTAAGAAACATTTAGCAAAGTTGCAGTGGCAAGCTAAAACAGCTTTTAAGAGGCAGAAACCTTGAGCAGAACCAGACTCGTGTTGAACAGCCATCAGCTGAAACTGTTAGGCTTGGAAAGTGGGATAGAGGGAGATATAGAAAGAGAGAGACGGATTGAGACAAACAGAGCAACAACAGCAGCAATGAATACAGTAGATTAATAGCTACAATGGCAGTAATCATGATTAAAGTATGTGTAGTATTAGCAGTAACAGCTAACAGTGTTAATAGACTGATCAATCTAATATAAACATTACTAACTGTAATGATGATGAAAGGTGCAGGACTGATTATATTTATTATAGAGGTTGAAGTTGAGCAGCTCTAAGATTCACTTTGCTATTTATAATAATGATAATAGATGTACGGCTGATACTAATAGTTGTAGCAGTTGGAGTTGTTGTTGGGGTGCACAGCAGCCGCCCGCCCACACCAACGATCCAGAGGAACCTACAAGACAAGAAGCTCAGAAACCCCCACAGGAAGATATATTGTTTTGGTAGCAGTAGCAGCCATTGTGAAGAACCTCTTGGAAATAATAGCAATCGGCATGTGCTGCAGAGTCACATTTCCCTATAACACGGTGTAATTACTGCTCTAATGACTGGCTGTACAGTAGGTCTGATGATAAAGTTAGTGGAGCAGTAGTGAGAGCAGTCACAGCTAAAGGCCACTGATCATTAATTAACTCAAGAGCCACTCTGTTTCTGGGGGGTTCAGCAAGTTCAGAAGCGTCAGCGCCTGTCGAGAAATGCAACAGGTTTGAAATCGAAAAAGCCCTCGCAACCTTCCATGTAAGGCGACACAGCTGACAAAGCACACACACACGCAGTGCTGTGGACACACACTTGTACACAAACAGAGGAACTTGTCTCTAAATACGTATTGATCATCATGTGGCAAAGCTTTCTTTTCCTCATGAGGATGAACACGTGCCTTTACAGTGGAGACACGAGTGGTCCGGCTGCAGTTTGATCAAAGCTTCTTTTTTTTTTCCCTTCTTCTTCATTACATTCATTATGTATAGCTCAGGTGAGGGCATCCATCTCCTTCCAGACAAGCACCTCCTCAGGTGTGTTTGAATAATTCAGTGGGCCCCCCATTTCCTCTGTGTGTGGATTGATCCACACTTTGTCCAGCTGACTTTTTCTCATTATTTGTGTTTGTAGCTCACTAGGCCACTACAGCCCTTTTCCAAACTCTCTCACTCTTCTTATAATAACTCAATTGCATCTGTACCAACATCTCTCTCCAACCCTTTCTTTGTCCTCTCTGTTTGACTGTCCTCTTGGTCGAATCACTTCACATCCTGACCTTATCTATTTTCTTTTTTTCACTGCTTTTTTTAATGCCAATTAAGAGCCTGTTAACAATACAACCTTTTTTTTATTTATTTAAGATTTTTTTTTTTGTTTTTTGTTTTTTTGTGTGATTTATTGTAGAGATGGGAAAGTGGATATAGTTGGAAATCAAGGAAAGAGAGAGTGGGGAACGACAGGAGAAAGGAGCCACAGGCCGCATTCGAACCTTGGCCACCCGCTTGGAGGACTATAGCCTCCTTACATGGGGTGTGCACAATAACCACTAGGCTACCCTCGCCCCCAATACAACCATTTTTAAAATACTAACAACATGCACTTCAACATATTTAGATTTCTATAATGGGCAAATGAGCAGATATTTCCCTCAACAACTAGTACATCAAAATGTAAGTGCTTTGTACCCAAACGATTCTACTGGGGGTTCAATCACTAAATATTTATGCATTTTATTTGACTCATAAGACGATGTCCATGAATGTTATCTTAGGTTTTCTGTGTGTAATTTGTCACTTTATTTTTATATGTTTAATTTAAAGTCGTGTTTAGCTCCTGGTGTAGCTCCAGGCTGGCAGACAACTTGTCAACAAATCCTGTTCAGCGCTGCCTGCTACTGAACTTGCTCTGGGCTGTTTTCTTGCCAATATTCTTGCTAATATTGGCTGTAACTTTAAAAAAAAAAAAAAAAGTTTCCCCATTAGCTGTGAATTTCTTTATTCTGAATTTCATCAGAATAAATTGTATCATTTGATTTTATGATAAAATATAAATACAGTTATATGTAGCTTTCAAAATTGCAGGTGACTCAACATCTAGAACATAATAAATACTTTTATTTGTATTGCACTAATCCAAATGTGAACAAATCACACAAATAAAGCACAAATGAATGTCTGAATGACTAAAATAAAATAATAAATAAATAGAACACCAAAGATAAAATATGAATGTTAAAAGTAGCTTGACAAGCAACAGCCCAGAATGTTTTGCAATCATTTCTTCTCCTTCATAACTTGTCCCGGTGAGACATATTTTCTTACTGTGTGCACCTACTTGCCTCTGTTCTCTCCCCCAGGCCTACTCTGTTTACGATGAGGAGATTGGCTACTGCCAGGGACAATCCTTTCTGGCTGCTGTGCTGCTGCTGCACGTGAGTTCCAACATATCAGAAAAAAATCTTCTTTTCAAACAATTTGAAGAGCTCAGCAGGGACTGTTTTGTTTTCATTTGACGTCGGTATCTTCTGTGACATTCTGCAATGACGGAGGATTGGTCTGGCTTCTTTTGGATTTCCAAAAGCCTTTGTGTCTTGTATTCACTGTAGGATATGATCTTTTACTTAGGAAGAATTCACATGCCAGGTGGCATCTGTGGGGCACTGACATTTGATTTTCTTAAGAATTGTGTGTTATAAATGTTCCTGTTCACCCGCCACCTGAGCGCCCGTGGTTCAGACAAAGGATATTATCGCCCCCTAGTGGACAAACAAAGTCCTAAAGAAGTTGGAGGAAAGATGTGTATCAATTATAATAGTTTTTAAAAATGAATGAATTGTTTTATGGAAGGGTTGGGAGATAATCACTATTTTAAATTAGCCTCATCAGAAATGTTTACTAACTGCATGTGTTGGTCTTTTTTTTTTTTAGATGCCCGAGGAGCAAGCTTTCAGTGTCCTCGTCAAGATCATGTTTGATTACGGGCTCAGGGACCTTTTCAAGCAGAACTTTGAAGATCTGCATTGCAAGTTTTTCCAGCTTGAGAGACTCATGCAGGTATGTGTGTCCCATTTGCATATTTTTTAAAAGTTTTGTTTTTAGATTTTATTTAGACTTACCGTTATGGGTATCCTTTAGTGTGTCACTTAGATGGACAAATATTGTGTATGAGTTGGTCAACATTTGGGTTGTTGTAGTTTTGTTCTCTCTTTGATTTGTCAATCTTTCCCTTCCCTTAAACCCCCTTTATTTTCTTTTATTCTCTATACTTATCTTTTAATTTACTTCTCGCATATTCTTTTCCTCCCTGGTCTCCTTCCCCATTTGTCTGTTAACCTCCCCCCCCTCTCTCTCTGTCTGAAACAGGAATATATACCAGACCTTTACAACCATTTCCTGAATGTGGGTCTGGAGGCCCATATGTACGCCTCTCAGTGGTTCCTCACCCTCTTCACAGCCAAGTTTCCTCTCTACATGGTCTTCCATATCATTGACCTGCTACTGTGTGAGGTTGGTATGCATGGACACAAACATCAAGACCAAACACAACTCTACTGGCTGCAAATCACTCTAACTTTTAAATTGATAAGATTTTGGTTTAATTTAGTATTTTACCTTCTCCAGTTTCCCAAAAACAAAAAGAGAAACTTATTGTAAGGCATGTAACCAAATAAACACTTGGCGCGCACATTTTGATCAGTTATTCAATGTTTCTTGAAGCTGACTTGCTGATAAATGCATCTAATAAAATGCTCCAGAGATGAAATAATAAGGTTTTATATAAGAAGCATGAAGTTAGATAAGTTTGAATGGATAATCACCTGAATGGGTGGCCTGTTGGTCCAAAGTCAATAGACAATGTGAGACTAGGAGAGAAGAATTTCAAGTCAGATGAGACCAAAATAGTTTTTCTAGCTAAAACCAAACCATGTCCCATCCATTACCTGAATAATACCATCATTGTGATGATGCATGACACCGTGATGCTGTAACGGTGAATCATAGCAGCAGGAACTCAGAGGACGTTCAAGAGCGAGAAAATGATGGACAGACCAAAATACAGAGAGGAAAATCTGCCACACATCACAAATCACACTCACAGCCACGGACTAAAGTGAAGATTCACCTTTCTACCTGGTGGTCCAGGCAAAGACAACTGGAGTGTCTGCACAGCTTTAAGTAAGCCAGCCAAATCCCAAAAAACTTTGTGCTGATAACTTTAGATTTCTATTCTTAAGCCCCTTCCCTAAAGTCTGACAGAGATTGAAAGGAAGAATATAAGCAGTTTGGTTGAAGATTCTTTTAGCAGCTGGTGCAGAACTACAATATGAAGTCTTCTTGTTTTGTACTCGATGTAGTTCAAATGTTTCTCTCTTTACTTTTAGAATTATTGTGGAAATGTTTCCATTGGTGAAATGTATTTTTATAGTGAGTCATAACACACTCACTCTTCACTGTTTTCAGTGTTAATGCATGTACATTTTCTTGTAACTTACTAGTTCCTCAACTGCTGAAAATGTTTTGTATTTTTAGGGCATCAGTGTGATCTTCAATGTGGCTTTGGCACTTCTGAAGGTAAGCTGGCTCTGTCAAATTTGAATATTGATTAATAACCAATGCACACGTATACACAATACACAAATGAAACCTTTTTTTATTGAAAGTCAATTAGGCCTAAAGACTGCTTAAGCTTGTTTTGTTCTCAAAAACCTGTTTTTGTTTTAAAATCAAAAGAAATAGTCTCGGTTAGAATTATCTTGGGAATAAATCTGAGCACAGCAGCCATCTTTGGCTTGTAAAATGTGTGGCTAAGATACTTTTGTGTTCCCGTCCTTCTTTTTCTTCAGACATCAAAAGACGATTTGATCCAAACAGACTTTGAGGGTGCTCTCAAGTTCTTTCGTGTCCCGGTTCCGAAGAGGTATCGTTCTGAGGAAAATGCAAAGAAGCTGATGGAGCTGGCCTGTAGCATAAAGGTGAGTTTAAAGTGAAGGATGATGAAGAAGAGTGTGAGTAACCTTGATTTCAGAGTACAAATACAATATTTGCAAGTCACTTATTTAAATTTAAAAAAGTAATGGAAAAATATTCAGAAAACCTCAAACAAGTCTTTGTTTATACTATAAGAAACAGAAAAGTTTTCAAACATTTCAGTCTGCTAATCAAACGTGAACGATTTAGTGGTTATAAAGAATTGATAAAGCCTCTTTTCCTCCCTGCAGTGCTACATTTATACCACTAGGGGTCACTATTGAATTTATAATCCTGTTCAATAGCTATGAAGAACTCACACAGGCCTCTCTCTTTTCATCTCTGTCTCATAAAACACACACACACACACACACACACACACACACACACACACACACACACACACACACACACCCACTCACACCTGTGTCCTGGCCTGTTTTGATCAACCTGGCCTAGTTTGTAAGGTCTGCCTTTGAAAGTAACTTTGGGCTAGGATATTTATTAGAACAAACTTTTCAAAGCAGCCAGCACAGAGAAAGATTTAAGTCTTTTGGTTCCTGGTCAGACAGGTGTGCAGCTGAGAGAGGCGCACATGAACTTCTACAGCGTGGAGAAAATCTGGTGCAATATGTGGTTATTATCCAGAGCTATTGTTGTGGTTTTAGGTTTTCTCTGACCCATTTGAATAAAACCCCCTCATGCAGTCTCTTCAAAGCTTTTGCCCTCTATTTACTGCATACTATCATTTCTATTGTAGCACATTATTTGGCAAGAGAAAGTCATTCTAAGAAGTCATTATACAAATTGACCTCAGTGAGAACCGTCGAGTTGGATCTGGGAATTAAATCTGAGTGAAGGTAAAGCTAATCTGAAGCTTGGATGCCACTATAGGGAGATTAACAGACCAGATTACTGGTGCCCTCATTGACTGATGATACTGACTTCTGATTGGAGCGCAAATCTCTTTGAGTTTCCACGTGCTCTAACTTTTTTTTTGCCAAGGTATAAAGTCACTGTCAAAAATCTCTTAGTGCCTTTTTTAAACAGGATTTAGATTGTGGATTATTTTTATGACATGTTTTCGTAATAGATTTGATTTTATAAACCAGTGGCTAAATCCAACATACTGGTCCTTGACCCTTTGAATCGTTGACTCCATCCCTATTGTGGAATACAAATAAACCGATAGAGGCAGACAGGATTGTCGTGAGTCTGATGGAAGACAGTGTGTGTGAATTCTAGTTGATGGTATTAAGAGAGAACTCTCTTGACGATCCTCCTAAGTATCAGGGGGTAAAGGTCTTAATGATTTTTTATACTTTTAATTGAATATTTGACATTTTTGGAAATTTCAGAAAGAAAATGTATTCATGAGACGATGTCAGGGTCAGACGGGGGTCATTTATGATCTCTAGGAGTAGCTGTTACACCTTCTTTCTCTTTTAGTCTGTCATCCTTTTGACTCCTAAAGCTAATATGCAACTTGCCCAGTGAATTTAAATAAATATCATGAACATATTTTGTTTGTATTAGTCCCCATGTCTTTATGTCTAGATTATATGTCATACATTTCTATCTAGTGCACAAGTATAAGTATACAGTAAGTGCAAGCTGTGGCTCAGTGGTAGAGTTGGTTGTCTCTAAACCAGACGGTCGGGGGTTCGATCCCCAGCTCCTGCAGGCAAGGCAAGTTGCTGCTGCAGCGTTGGTGATTTTTTTTTTTTTAAAGATTTTTTTGGCTTTTTGTGCCTTTAATGAAGAGATAGGACAGTGGATAGAGATGGAAATCAGGTAGAGAGAGTGGGGAATGACATGCGGGAAAAGAAGCCACAGGTGGGATTCAAACCTGGGCCGCCCGCTTGGAGGACCACAGCCTCCGTACATGGAATGAATGAATGAATGGATTAGTTAATACTGATGGACACTTCACATAGCAGCCTCTTCCATCAGTGTGAATGGTTAGGTGTGACCTACACTTTGAGTAGTCAGAAGACTAGAAAAGCTCTATACAACCTCAAGTCCATGTACAATTTACCATTATCAATAAGTAAAAATAAACATTTTATTGGTTCAGATGAGCTGAAACAGATAGAGCATGTTGTCTTAGAATATTCATTAAACTCTAAAAGAAAAAAACACAATACTGATGCCACTTCACTTATTTATAATTGATCCATGACTTGTAAGATGAGAAATATTTGATGTGTTAAAATGATGACTGTACTTGAGAGAGCTCTGGTTGCCGTGTTTCTGAACACCACTCTTGAGTTGTAACTTCTGGAGACCCAGCTGTCTGTCATGGCTGTGAGAGGAAGCGGGAATGAATAAAGCACGACAGGAAAGGAGAAGCATGAGGCAACACCTGCCCTGCCCTGAATGACCTCTTGTTTTTTTTTCTTCCTGTACCCTGGCTCCCACTTACAGAGCTGAAAGTGAAACCCAGTACACTTTAGGGAGCACACAAAACACACACAGGCAGAGACACACTTAGAACAGGACATGGCCATGCCGTCCCAGATCTGCCAACCTCATTAGGTAAAGCCATTAGGTAGAGCCCGCCATATTTATACATGGTACATATGTCAGCTGATATTATCAGGCTCATATAACATACATATTTATAAATGGATGTATGCCTCCAGTGGGAGCTAATTTTAAACGTTGGGTGAACATACGACGCAAAAATATTTCTTTGGTTGATTTAGTAATGTGTCATTACCTAGTTTGTCCAGTAGAGGGCCTTAAAACTCCATAGTTTACAACACTCTCAGCACTGTTTGCAGCACATGTCAGAGCATAACAGCATAGCAAAAAGTGGTCCACGCTGGAATTGATTGACAATGAATAAACATATTAGACATTTATGAACAAACTTATGTGTTTAAGAAAGAAGCTTCTTGTTTTATGTCATATCCAAATAAAAAAGTGTATTTACATTTAAGCTCAAGTATTCATGATATCAGCCACTGTTAGGTAATCAGTGAATGTTCTCCCTTATCTTATATGATTAACTGTAATAATGAACTCAAGATTATAACAAGCACATGCGGCAATGCACCCAAAGGCGACACATTGATGTTGCGGTCATAACCACATTCCATTTAAAGCCACAGAATGGACAAACAACTCTTAGTGCGACACAGTGTTGGTCTCTCTTTATGCAGAGAATCGGGCACACAGTGTTCATTTCATGTTGGCTATTTCTTTAAAACGTCCAGTGTATGGCTATCAGGGTAGTGAAGGCCTGTTGATGGCATTAACTAAAAGCCGTGTGTGTGAGCTGTAAATGTAGGCATGAATGAGACTGTAAGTGTGTCGTTTTTAAAATGAAACACTGCTTGGGTTGTGTTGGGCTAAAACACTGAACCTGTGTACCAAATTGTCTGTTTATTTCTTTCAGAATAAAAGTAACAGACACGTAAGCTGCTGAAGTGTGTAATGAATTAAACCATTATATCCATTATTAAAAATTCCAGTGTTATGTCATCAGCTCTCAGAGTTCACTGACATACTCATACTGCTTTCTGGGACAACTCAGCACCTCTTTTGACCTACTTTAATTTTTTTACAAGCTGATAACAAAATGCTGTCATGGTGGATTGGCGCATCAGCTTTACGTTTGAAATTTTACAATAAATCTTAGAACTCAATAAAAAAAATGTGACAGAAGTTACTCTTGGCAGTCATTTTCCAGTGAACCTCCCTGTCACACAGAAATAAACAGTAGCAGACTGGGCCTGTAATCTTTTCAAATGTTCCTCTTCGTTTCATTCTAATGCTGGACTAAACTAAAGAACGGTAAAGGCCAGCAAAGCTTATAAATCATGTGTCCTTGTTTACAAAAGGATTGGAAAGACTCTCTCTCTCTGGCAGATACCTCCATTGCACCAGCCACATACTATTATACTAGTTTATTTTGTCTTTCATCATGTTTGTAATTGTTAGTGTTGTACTCCATACGTGTAACATTTTTTTTTTTTGTGTGTGTGCTCTATTTGCACGACAGATCAGCCAGAAGAAGCTGAAGAAATTTGAGAAGGAGTACCAAACGCTAAAGGAGCAGCAGGAACAACAGGAGGCGCCCATCGAGAGATACGAGGTACTCACGAGCACGCAGTCTTCACATACACACTTTATGCTTTATGTATTAAATGACCTCTCCCTTGACATGTATACAAAGTTTACATTAAATGATATCCCCTTTCAAAATCAAGTGTACCCTTAAACCAAGAACATCCCTGTTGTTGTTGTTCTTGTTGTTGTGCTTCACAAATACAAATGGGTAAAGACATAAAATCAGTTTTGTGTTCATTAATACAACACACTAGATGTATTATTAGTGTTATATATGTATCTTGAAAATCTGTATTGTAATGACGCCACCACTCAGTCACTCCTAAGTGTAGAAAACAGATTGTGTTACTCTTGCACAGCAGAATACTAGCCTCCAAACTGTGAGAGATTTTCCACAGAACAGAGATTTATTTTTATTATAGACCTTGACAGTCCTTGTTTGTAAAAGAAAAACTACACGGCCCCAAAAAAGCCATTAATTGTACATGCCATAAGTCATCCCAAGGGTAACGGGGTGGAGGTATACAGTACAAGATCATCAATTACAGTGACCAGGCTTCTTCTCTGTTCGCGATTTAAAAGGCTTCTGATGAGCAAATACAATTTTTTTTTATAGATGAGGTACCTTGAGATGTTCTTATATTATATTGCTGAAGAATATTTTCATAGAGTGAGTCCCCATTTATTTAAAGACAAACTGATGTGGAAGACTGCAGTCAGATTTTGGTTTAGTCCATTTGTTTGCATCATTCTCAGATACTAAAGCATATTAAGATGATCTCTATTACAGTTTTTGTACCTTGGGCTACATTTAAATGCTTATCAACTATTTAGTTTCTAATAGGCCAATCAATTTGCATTAGAGTCCGTTTAGTTTCTCTTATTTTAGCCAATATTAGAGCATTAAAATTGACTTTTCATTCAGCAGAAAAAAGACTCATTTTGACAGGATAAAAATGAGCAGGCTTATTTAAACGATAAATGCGTACTCTAAATGGAATAGGCCTATTATAAGGTCACCAGGCAGGACAATTGGTTAAATTGCAACATGTCATCACCAGGCGCTCAAGTTTTCCTATTATTGATATTTTAACCCTCTTCATTTTGTAATCTCACAGAAAATGTTTGATGTAAATATTAAATGGACTGAGTTTGTATAGCGCTTTTCTAATCTTCTGACTACTAGCCATCCAGTCCAGTTATTGCTACAGCTGTCTGTTGACGTTAACACGTTGTGTCCTGTTAAACATTACAGCAACTCTGACTGTGTAATTACACTCTCACCTGATCATAGTTAACTTATACACCCGCCAGAGAAGAAGACATGCGTTCACATTCATGATTAACTCCTTTTTTCTTTCTCTGTTATCTTTTCACTTTCCTTCCTCTTTCATGCTTTCACACTTCCCTCACTTCATGCTGCCTTTTCTTTTTCTCTGTCCTACTCTTTTGCTCGTTTGATCTTTTTCCTGTTTGTCTCAATTGTATACATTTCCTGTTCCTGCTGTCTTTCTCCTCTTCTTTTCCTGCTCCTTCTAAATTTCTCTCTTCCTCCTTCCAGCGGGAGAACCGTCGATTGCAGGAGGCTAACATGCGTCTGGAGCAGGAAAATGACGACCTGGCACATGAACTCGTCAGCAGCAAGATAGCCCTGCGCAAAGACCTTGACAACGTAAGACAGCAAGGGGGATTATTTGTATGTAACTGTGTGAGTCTGTTTGTATAGATGTTCGTGAAAATGTTTAATGGTCGCTTCTTTAATAAGCAGGGTGGTTGTTCATGTGGCAATAATTGTGCAAGAGCTGACGCAGTGTGAGTCAAAGCAACACAACATGTATGAAGCAAAAACCTTTATTTATACAGCCTTAACAGTCACAGTCTTTATTTACAAGACTGGCTTTGGACAAAGAAAAGAAAGAGAAAGATAGAGAGGAAACTTAAGCAGAATGTAGCACACAACTTACTTTCAATGACCTCACAAATATTGGGTTATTTGTGTGTGTGTGTGTGTGTGTGTGTGTGTGTGTGTGTGTGTGTGTGTGTGATTCAGGCTGAGGAGAAGGCAGACGCCCTGAATAAAGAGTTACTGCTGACCAAACAGAAGCTGGTGGACTCTGAGGACGAGAAGAGACGACTGGAGGAAGAGTCCGCACAGGTCAGAGCCACTTTTCAACCCGATGTCTTTATTTCAGTCATCAGTCCTGCTTTTCTTCAAACCTCATGTGGCCCCGCAGGGTTACAGATAGCAGAACGGCTCAGCACTATAGCATCACAAATTCTCAGGTGAAGGAAACATTGTAGAATTATGGTGAAAAAAAACGCGTCTTAAATCTCGCCTCTGTGGGTCAAGAGGGAGTTGTGATATTAATGTGACAGGCTGTAGCTGAGCGCTCTGTCTGATGGTCAGTGCCAAGAGGCTGCAGGTTTTCCATCAAACCAAACACTGCAGTACATTTAAGTTCTCCATCTTTAGGTACACTGGATTAAAAAACTTGAATTACCTTCTTTTTTTTCTGTGAAGCAAGATATCTGGGGTCCTTACATGTTTGCTTGTCTTGAGTTTGTTTTATTGTTTTTAAAATGCAGGGATAGGTCATATGTCTTAATAATTACATAAACTTCTTGAGAGTTTACCAGGCTTGATTTAAAACTATTCTTATCCTGGCTACTGGCCTGAGCTCGGAAATCAGAATAAGAGTTAACTCTATTTTCACTTTACCTAAGTACAAAAAAAACTATGTATGTAATGTACTTTGTACACACAGTATGTCTGTCTGTCTTAAAACATGCCCTGTCTCCAGACCACTCTATGATTATTCTGTCTTTTCTCCATCTGTGCTTTTTAAAAGAGCCTAACATGTCGTTTTCTACGTCGATGTAAAACAGAACATAAAGTCTGAACATTTTCAAGGCTTCCTCCATCATTCCTGTCACTTCTTATACTCTCCACATTCAAACCTTAAATGTGAAAGGATGTCGGCTCGTCATCTTTGATGTTGATATCTTGGGTTCAGTGAAGAATCCTCCTTTCTGTTTCCATGTGTGTTCAACGCCGTCCTCCAAACGTCTCCTGTCTTGTTGAGTGTGTGTGTGTAGCTGTGAGTGATTTATGTGCTAGCGTAGAGGTCATGAGGAGAGCGTGACTTTGCCCTGAGCTTCAGGTCTGCCAATACCCCTCTCTGTCTTCTTTACATGTCACACAGTCTCCGAGGCCTCTGCTGCTGTCCTTGGTATGTGCCCTGTAACATCCTGATGGTAACTATGTGTGTGCTTGTGTGTGTGTGTGCGTTTCAACAGCTGAAGGAGATGTGCAGACGAGAGCTCGATAAGTCTGAATCAGAGATAAAGAAGAACGGCTCCATCATTGGAGAATATAAGCAGGTATGTACTGAATGTCTTTGTTGATTTTTTTTTAACAGATATCATCAAAAAGCTTCTCATAACAGGGTTTGTTCCTCCCAGTTAGCATGTTCCCTCCTGTTTAGACCATATTTGTGAAGTGTGTCTCTCACAGGCACATTTTAGAGAAGTGAAACTTTAAACAGACTGTCACAGTACTTGTGCTTTTGTTTTTTGGTTTATGTTATCTTTTTATAATTTATAAAACTTCCCCTTTCCTTTATCATTCTGAAACACACGGATGAATGTTAAATGCACTTTCACTAGCTTTCTAATATTTTATCATGGCCAATCAGGTGTTATCGAGTGTGATTGTAAACTAAATTGTAAACTAGTTTGATCCGTTTGCATGTTTTCTTTAAACTGTATTTATACTTTTTCAAGGAAACATACAGATACATTTAAAAAAACACCAACAACATTCCTGTCAGCCCTCACCCTACCCTGACACCAGAAACACTGCACAATTGAGAAAAATACCATAAAACTCATAATAGTCTAGGCTTTGATTTACTTCAGTCTATGAAATGACCCTGCCTTTTTTTTTGGGACAGGCGTCAAAATGAGACAGCTTTTAATTATTTTTAAACAAAACAGCAAAGATGGTTGAAGATTATACAATCGTCCATTTACACCAGAAATAGTATTTATGTACAACATGAGGATATCTGTTAAGAAGTTAAACAATAAATCACTAATATGATCTTACTTTGTAAGACAATAAGAAAACGTGAAGGCCTGTTTTTGTTCCAGCATTATTCTGTCTTTCTTAGACAGATTTTATAGATATTTTTGTGTCTGCAGCTTTGTCTCTTTATTTTTCATCCACACACTATTTCAGCTTAAAACTCAGAGCACCTTTTACTGAGACTGGCTTTTATGTCAAAACCTGCAGCTACACCAGGCTACTATAAGGGACATGACCTTAAATCGGGATGGGCTTTTATTAGAAGTTTTACGGTGTGTGTATAGTATTTAACAAATCACTCAGTAAAAAGAAAAAGGATCAGAGTCACCATTGATTTTTTACAATATAGGAATAAGGTAAACAGATATTAATAAGAAATAGAAGCATTATGTATTGAAAGTGCACAGGATTGCACAGTCGAGATGTACAGTGGATTAGGGAATACAAAGTTTAGTCTAGTTTCACTATTGTACTGCTGGATTATTGCACAGATCATTGTCCACTTTGGATTCAGTTTTGCACAGCTGAAAAATAAATCACAAATAAATAATAAAAGGAAAAAATGTTGTTAGTGTGTAATAAACATGCCTTATCATGAACTCTGTATATTTAAAGAGTGAGTCTTTTAGCTTCTTTGTTGAACTTCTCTGTCCTTATCTCCTCTCTCCTTATTTGGCTCTTATTTTAAAATCTAAGCTTGGAACGTGTCATAACGGAGGTAAGGGGTAGCAGCCACAATTGTTGGAAGATAATATTAGATCAATCTGATTTCAACAGTCATCTAGTTTGTGAAGCCGAAACATCTAATTTTAATTTTACGTATTGTCCCTAAGATGAACTCGGAGCTTGTGATGACTGAGCTTGAGAGCATATTTTTGAGTTCCCGTCTCTCTGAATTCCTCTTACAGCAAATTTCATCCCCTCAGATCTCATCCTGTCACTTAATGCTTAAATATAAACCTTTCCAGATCAAGTATTATTACCATCAGGGCAGAGGCATTATGTAACAATCCAGCACCTATGTCTCCCCATGGGGGCCAACAGAAATAGCAAGAGGACTGATTTAGAAACAGATCTTAGCTTCACCTGAGTCTAAAAATACTGACAGCGGCGAGAAATTGACAGCCGATATGAAACAGATAACAAGAGGTTTCATGAAGGCGAGAGGAGCCGATGGTTCAGAGTGTGTTTGCGCATTTGTGTTTTGGATGAAAGCAGCCTTCAAATTGTCAGAATGCAGTGGAGAGAACTGTGCTGAGCAGTTCTAAGTGTGAAAATGGGGGCTTTGACAAAAATAGTTTCTTTTTTTGTGACAGGAAGAAGGGGGTGATAGATGGAGAAAGAGGGAGAAAACAAACAGTGGAGGAGAGGGAGGGAGGACAGCACAATTGAGGCCCGTGGGATTGACAAGTCGAGGAATGCCCTGAAATAACCTGCATTGTTTTCCAACCCAGATAACTCTGGTGATTCTTCAAATACCATCTCCATATTCCAGTCACTCTGAATGCCAAATTATTTTTTTTATGGGATTAGAGCCAAGATAGCTTTGTGTGCTAATTGCCCCTCCAGCTCACGAGGACAGAGAAGCGTCTGTTAGAGTGGAAGCTAAAAGCGGTGTCGAGTGCTGTAGAGGAATACCCGCTATACGAGTGGAGGCAGTAGAGATGCACTCAGGCGAGCCGCTACTTGCCAGCTGCAGCGACATGTCTCTTAGGCCTTGTTAGCATTGGATTCATTTGATATCTTACAGTTTTCGAAAACGTTTCACCCTGGACACCAAATTATTCAAACCATTTTTGGATTGCAACCAAACTCTCTATTATTCCCCACCATGAATATACGGCTTACATACAGTGTTGAGCAAGAAAAAAATAATTTTCCAAACAGTAAAGCCACAATAGCCTGATGAATTATTGAGCGAAAATATGTAGAACAAATAAGACTCAGATATTCATAGAAAGGAAATGGAATATAAGAAACATGAGAACTAAAAATGGCCCGTGGGTCTCATGCCTGAACTGACAGAATCATTCAGACACCTTGTTTCGTGGTTGTTGTGGTGTTTCCAGTCAATAGTCTATGGCTTTGAAATGTCCTGAGTCTCTAATTTAAAATGTGAAAATGGTTTTCATCAGCTGGTTTTGAATAAAGGAATGAGAATCGTTGCAAAGAATGGTTTCATTAGAAATTGGCAGTAAAGGTGACGTTTTCTAGTCTGCTAGCAAATCGGCCACTTGGTCATGCTGTATGGAAAGTAAGACGTTCTTATTTATACATCAAGGTTCAGCTAAGGAGTCATGTGAGTTTACCTTTGCTACCTCACAATGGGTTCTGCAGATCGGTCAGTAAATCAGCACATGTATAAGATTATAAGATATAGATTTATAAACAGTTCAAGCGAGTGGGAGAAAAAAAAAATGCAGAATTCAGGAGGATTTGTTGATTTTGCTTTTTATCCATACAAAGTTTTTTTTTTGCAATATGAAAAACAAGTTTATACCAAATGTTTATGGAAATGCATAGTGTGAAACATGGGAAAGAATGCAGACAACATCTATCAGGAGTTTAAAGAAGCAGTATAATGATTGACAGCTTGCTTACAGATGGTCCAGCTTTAACGATTCCTCACTGGAGACTGACATCTTACACAGGCTTGAAATCCCAGCAGAACACACTGCCCCCTTCACCTTATTCCTCTCAGCCCTTTTGCAATCTTAAGTAAAAATGTGATGTTAAATAAAAACAGACTAAAGCCAGATTAGTCCATAAACAACAAGTTAAAGCTCCTCAAATTCAAACGTTTTTGAACAGGCATGCACGATGAGTAGTGATGAAGGGAAGATACAGAGATGGGTAGAGTAACGGTAGTTGGGAGGAAGCGATAAAAGACATGTAGGAGTAGAAGATGCATATCTGCTTGGCTAAAGATACACAGATAGATGTATAGATTGATCTCTACAGGAGGAGGTGGAGATTTACAGTAAAAGCAACAGGGAATCAGAGATATGCAGAAAGCTGATAGAGAGATGCAGAGTGTGTCTGCAGAGAGGTGGGATGACCCGATGTTCCTGTTAGGATGACTCATGTCACATTGATCGCTCTGTTCATCGGCAAGCTAGAAGCACAAATGTGTGGGTGTGTGTGTGAGTTTGTATGTCAGTCAGCATGTTTGGAGCTGTGCTCTAAAAGGTGTACTACTGCAGGAGAGCAGAAAGAGATTGTGTATATATGGCAGGATGCACATGTCATACTCTGTGTGTTTACATCCTGTTAGCCCCGCTGGAAAAACAGCCCCTTTATGACATCACTAATGGACTTAACAGTAAGAGTAAGAGGATGAAGACTCTGCCAGCAAGACTGATTTACTAAGTAGCACAAACAGAGGAACCTTGTCGCCAATGTGCAACAAGGTTGTGCACATTGGCGTGGTAAGAGGAGGCAGATTAAAGAACTTGTCTCACTTAGTGGAACGCCCTCCCCTTTTTTTTAACCCCAACAAAAAGAAAGCAGATCTGGTTTATATTTAACCTTATTACACCCTGGCTCAGTTTTAAGAAGAATACTACAAGCGTGTTGTGCAGAAGGTTAATAGAGGGTGACTGAGATGTTCAATTCCCCAGCTTTAGCTGTTTTATCACACACAGTGTGTTCAGTTATGTATTCATCTGCTAGAAACTATGTTACTTATAATGTGGAGCAGTATATAATAGAAACACACTCATATTTACAAGTAAATGTAGCTATGGATAGAGTTTTTTCTATCTGCTCCTCTAGTTCAGAAAAATCATTTTATAAATTCCTCTATTGTTTCTGACATCTTCTACCTTGATCACCACTTCATTTAAAGTGGAGATTTTATTAAAAAAAATACACTTAATGTTTTTGAACATATATTTGGATAACCTGAGTGTCTACCAACCCACAAAATGTGAAATAAACCCATCAGGGCCTTTGTTTGTGGTCTGCATAAGTCTTACAACACAGAGAAAAGTGCTCCGTTTCAAATCTGCTCTCCTTGTGATGTCACAGTGGGATTCTGGTTAAAAAATACCCTCCCCTGATATCTCCACCCATGGACTTCACCCCAGCCTAGAACAAAAAATTTGCGCAGATCTACCATTTTAATTCTCACTACAGAGGAGTGATGTCTACCGGGAAAACTCAGGGGGGGGCTCATTGCATTTAAAGAGACACACACACCAAAACGGAGCATTCTGAGAGAGCTGGTTTATACCGGGTCACAAACCTCTGGTGCTTGATTCATGTTATATTTTGACCAAAGCACAGCACAGATGTTTCATTTAGACCACAGGAGACTGTTTTTAAAGGTGGAAAAGGGTTATGATGTGTCCTCTTTAAAGCCATAATGTCATCTTCATTTTTTTTTTATAACTAAGAGGAGCCCAAAGTTGATCCCGTCCCTGAACATGCACTTGAAATATTCTTTGACAAAATAAAAATCCTCACCTTTTAACTTTACGAGGGAAAATGTCAACAACGGCTGACACTGACACACCAGCTGAGGTAACAGGCATTTAAAATAAACACATGGAAAATCTTGATCTTTTATTCTGATGGCCGTAGTATCATAAAGAGGCCTCGGTGTGCAATTCAGTCGATGTACTAGCAGCTAATCACTCCTTACAGTAAGTTTAACAAACACTTTGCAGCTCCATGCCAACGCTTCAAATCCTCTCTATTGAGTGTCTTGTTACATGGGCTCAGTAGAAACTCAAAAACATTGTGGGTTTATTACTGATAAAGCTGACATCAGTCCTCTAAGCTGACAAACCTTTTGAATAACCTTCTCCTCCTCCTCTGATTCTTTTAGATCTGCTCCCAGCTGAGCGAACGACTGGAGAAACAACAGACGGCCAACCGAGGAGAACTGGAGAAAATCAGGGTGAGCGTCACACACAAACCTTCAAAAACCTGCTATTTACTCTCAACACATGCTGTAGAGAAAAGGAGCTTTAGAGAAGCCTTATCCCAGAGCTGCTCTATCAGAGTCGAATGTATGACCATAAATGTGTGTCTCTACGTTATTGTTTAAAAAAAACTGCAGATCTAAGGATTCTGGATTATTCCCTCAACCAGTAATCAAGTGTTAGAGGATATTCTGTTTCTTTTGTATGTTACTATTTATTCTGAACACACAGTCATATAAGAGCGGTGACTCCATTTGTAAGAAACTATCTTCAAACAACAAGTTTTCATCTCTCACCACCTGAAACTCTTGTTGCCGTGTCATTGTCCCGACTTGAGACGTTCAAGAAGAATGAGGAGTTAGTTTGATGAGTTGGAGCCAGGCGTCTCACTTCCAGCACTTGTGCTCTTGGCTTATGAACTGTTTGTTTAGACTGTAGCTGGGAGATCGGCCATTTTGGCAGAGAACTCAGTCAGTGCTGCCCAAGGACTCACAAAAGGACACACAAAAGGTTTACTGCACCAAGGACAAGTTGTGTAAAAGATGTAGCAGGGCCTCTGCGTGTGGGGTTTTCTTTTTCATTATTCTTTAATAATGCTGCAGCGGATGAAAGTGTCAGCAGAGCAATTATAATTGATGTAGAGAAACTGTGAATGCAGTGAGTAATATGATATATGGTATTGTAAGTTAAAAAAGTCATAATTAAAGTTGTTGTAATACTGACATACTAATTGGCTCAAACTTAATCTAAATTGACGACTGAAACGATTTCAGCTCGAGCTGCTCAATAAACACTCTCATCCACCCTGCAGTGACGGGTCTAATATGTGTTGTATTATTACTACTCAGCTTTGACAGTTTTATCCAAAGGAAATGTCATATTTTCAGGAAATATTTATTCAACGCATTCCTCAAGCAATTTAGGATAAAGTTCCAAAGGTACACAACTTTGGCTGGGAGCTGCGGACAATGTCGCTATTTTATTTCAAAATCCCTCAATAATCTGTCAACAGTACTCTCAATGGGCTCAGCCTAGTAAAAGTTTGTGAATAGGATGTTGTTCAGCAGCTCGGTCTGTCTCTAATAATAGCTCATCATATATTAGGGCACCCAAAAAAAACAAAAAAACCTCTTTGACTAAAGCCAGCAGAAGAGGGGAAGAATAGATGGCTTGTGTACAACACTAATGAGCTGCAACGCTTCAGTAGCTTAATGGAACACCGTCGACTCTCAAAATGTAAAAAAGATCCTCTCTGCAAAAAGAAGGGGCTCATTCAGAATGACATAACTTACTGGAGATATTTGCATTTAGTTTAGACACATTTAGTCTTTAGTTTTTTTTAGTCTTGGTCTTTCTTTGTTTTATTTTTAGTGCTTGTGCACAATTCAAAATAGACGATAAAAGGTTCTAAAATAGTTTCAGCAAAGGAAAGTCAAGGTGCCCGCAAAGCTGTCTTGAAACATTCAGCCCAAATGATCTGACGCTTTGATTTCTTTTCCTGGAATTCTAGAACAAAAAGAGTCGTTTTTACATCTGCTTTGCACATTTTTCCTCTTCAGAGTCTGAGTGTTGTCTTGGGAAAATTGTGCTCTGAATGTAATATTGTTGAAAAAATGCCTTGTGCCTTTTTTTTTTTTACGGCCGGTTAAAAGCAGAGAGAGCAAGAGTTGAGCTCAGTAATTTAACAGTTACATTTTTGAATATCTGAGACGTTCAATGTCAGTAAATCAGTTAATCCTTTAATATTTAACGGAAGTTAAAACTACAGTTAACATTAATACGTCTTATCAATAAACAAAAAAAATAAAACATCAGCATTTGGCCGCCTGACAGCGGACAGTCAGTGTTTTTTCTCATTATCACCAAGAATTGCTGTTGTGTGTGTATTCTGTGTACATCACTCATGATGTACAGCACTAGAAAGTTCTGATTTGTGTGATTCTAATTTCAAGATCTAACCAACACAGCAGCCACAATCTATGCATCTGTCAGACCATCAACAAACAAACACAACTTCCTTTGCCGTCTGAAGGTCTACTGTACTCCTCTGGTCTTTTGCATCAGCAATCATCCTCATGATCCAAATCCACTCAAAGATTTTAATCCAAACACATGACATTCATAAAGATCCACAGAGTGATTCAAACTTTCCCTCCACTGTTCAGCTGTTTCCTCTTCACTAGTTCCTGACCTTTCCACTGACACCTCATTTGACCAATCAGGATGTTCCATTCACCGTTCCTTCTTGCGCTACTGTAGCCAATGAGAGCCTCAGTGGAAAGGGGCCTTTCTTTCTCTCCTCTCAGTGGCTGCGTCACACATGATGCAGATGTGTGAGTTAAAATACAGATAAAAGGGTCGCCAGTTTCGTCTCCTTGGAGAGTACGGAGCAAATGTGGTGAGCAGACTTCAGTTGGCAAAAGTGAATTCAAGTAACAAAATAATGTTAACAGAAACCAAATTTAACAGAAGTTTTATCCTCTGTTTATAATTTTTCAAATGAACGTACACAATTAATAAAAATATTAATGTTGATTATTTACAGTTAAAGGATGTGTGCCCAGCTCTGGTAAAAAGCTTGAATGCAGATGACTGTTTGTTTAATGAAAAGCTTGATTTAGGACATCTAAAGCGGCGGCTGTGGCTCTGTGGTAGAGTCGTGTCTCTACCGAGAGATTGGGTGTTCGATCTTCAGCTCTGCCGTATTGTTCTTAGGAAAGACACTGATCCTCAAAGTGCTCTGTCTGCATAGACAGCGGTGTGTGATTGTGATAGCACTGATGGACAGTCGAGCACATCCTCTGTGATTCTGGTGTGAATGTAACATCCCGTGTAAAAGTGCTTTGAGTGATTAGAAGACCAAAAAATACACTTTACAAGTCCAAGCCTATCTAGAAGTTATGAAGTGTAAATTATTACATCAAGGGCAGGAAATGAGTTTTTCCTTTCAATGACACCTCCTTGCCCTTGCAAATGTCTTCCACTTTCTTTAGAGAAAGTCATTAAATGTTCCTCGCTGTGACTGAATAAGAGCTTAGTTAAGAAAGTGGGTAGTTATGTAAAAGAATATTAGCACAGGTGATCTGCTGTCATCCATTTGACCTGAAGTCTCTTTGCCTATGTGCAAAAATCAATTATCACCCCTTTTTTTTCCCCCACTTACATGTTTTCTCTCTCCTCTTTCATCCCTCTCTAGTCCAAAGTGGAGGGATGTGAGAAGTGCAGCAGTCTTTTCAACAAAGAGGGTCGTGTGCGGGCCGCTGTGACCTCGGCGCCCGCTGGGGGGGCGGAGGAGACGGATGAGGAGAAGGAGGGCTTGAAGAACCAGCTGAGGGAGATGGAGCTGGAACTAGCCCAGACCAAACTGCAGCTGGTGGAGGCTGAGTGCAAAATCCAGGTACACTGACAAAGTTTTGACCTTAAACAAAGTCTACACGGATTTCTCATCATGTTCTTTTTTTTCTTTTTCTTTTTTTACCTATCCGATGCAGCTTTAGCAAATCATGAGTGGTCCCTTGACTGATTAAAATACATTGAAATATGCTAGCTCAGCTTCCATCTCAGGTCATCTACATCTAGCTAATGAAGACCTTGAGTCATAATGAGTCTTGTGTACTTGGCTTTGTTGTAGTGACACATTAAATACTGCTTAGACATCCATTTAGAAGCAAAAGTCTCTGTTTTAAGTAGAACACTGTTGTCTTGATAAAGACTGTGAGAAGTCTAGGATATAACTTTAGCATGGATAATTTCCAGTTCAAAGTGTGTGAGACTTTTTGGGACACCCATTTCATTACATCTAGCGACTGTGTGTGTCATGTGCAAACAGTTTGTTGGGAGATTTTTTACTCTCATGACTGTATCAACCTTTGAGGAGCAGAACAAGAGCAGCGGAGGCTCGAAATCATAGCAAACATGTTGCTACTAACAAGATTAGTTAAAGCAATTTGGAGCGTTATTGGTGAGCATGACTAAATTACTGAATGATTGATGACACTGCAGCTTGTGAAACAGCATTAAGGTGTAATAGAATTACAAACGGAACAGTCATGATAGAGTGTAGGGTGTTTTTAATGTTGAAATATACAGAAATAAACAAACAGATACCATTATGACAATTCACACGTCTTTTTTTTTTTTTTATCTGTCAGGATCTCGAGCACCACCTGGGTCTGGCCCTGAACGAAGTGCAGGCAGCCAAGAAGACTTGGTTCAACCGAACGCTGAGCTCCATCAAGACTGTCACCGGGACCCAGGGAAAGGAGACCACCTAACCTGATGAACCCCGTTGTCCAGTTTTACCCCCCTGATCATACCTGGATGTTCACACTGAAACCTCTGGACGTCTAACCTAACACAGCGGGCCATGAACTTTAACTCAAACACTGACCGTTAAACCCCAGGATGACCATAACTACAGACTGTGTTTGTCTTCTTAAAATGTGTCCTGATGTTTCCCTGATCTAATCAGCGCAATTTATTTCTTCTCTTCTCCAACCCCAATGACTACAGCGGCCTGTGCTGATGAGTAGGGGTTGGAAAAAAAAAAAACCACAGTGGAAGTACGACGGTACCACTTCCCCCAGAGGAACAATGTGCTTCCACTGGTCACAGAAAGTAAAGCATTAAAAAAAAAAAAGAAGCTTCATTTATCTCTGTCTTTGTACTGCTGATGTAAAAGCCCAGCAGAAGGAAGGTAGGACCTCTGAACTGTGTCTGTCCTGACGGGATAGAGAAGAAAACACTCCGTCCTTCCTTACTTTTCTGCGCGCTGCCCTCTAAACTACTGGCACAAACCGACCAGTCCCTGTACAACGTTTGTTTTAGGTACGAGAGCTAATAGACGCCTTTTCAAAACTGAGCTTTTTCTAATTTACGTTGAACAATACCTTTTTTTTTTTTCTTTTTTTTTCTATGTATGTACATGAATGTGCTTATGTAAAGAGGATACGTGAGTGTACGTGTGCATGTTTTCTTGTTTTGTTTTGACTGTGTGAGTGTACAAATGTGAATGACTGCATAAATAACTGAAGAAACGTTCAAATGTGTGTATAGAAGGAAAGAGGGCGAGAGCGTCTGGAAGTCCAAGGGAAAGAAAAAAAAAGCACTAAGGTCATGAGTGTGTGCATGCATGTAAGGGAATTCTTCTTGGTCGTCTCCTTTAATGTTTAAATGTGTATATGAATGATGCTAAAGAAAAGCTTGCTGACAAAGCCTTGATCTAGAGGTCGATGATGTTGAAACTATGGGATATGAATTTATCATTTACAGTAGGAGGTCTGAAAGCATTAGAGCCGTTGTGATTTACAGACTCCCCACTGAAAAACATGCTTGAGGTTTGTTTGGTTTGGATCTCCCAGCACAAAAAACTTAATCAGCTCCAAACTGCACAAACTTCTGCGTGTCACGAGCAGTATGTGTACGCATGTTAGGAGGACACTGTCTAACCCCAGAGCGACGCAACGCTTGTTGAAAACCATAAACACACTTGTAGGTGAAGGAAAAATGGAAAACGCACAACGTTAAAATTACTGCTGCACTTGAACACATCCCTTAAAAACCTTGACCCCCCCCCTCCCCTCAGTCTCCTGGTGCCAGTTTCTCTGCCGGGTCACATTCAATACTTTTTAGGGCCCTCTTGTGTTGTGTTAACTTTTCACAGTCCAGCGTGACATTTAGGAGCTCCTTTACTACTGCAAACGCACAACTACACACTGAAATGCACTTTTTATTACTTAAAAAGGCAGGTACAGAACAAACACTCAGCGGCCACTTCATTAGAAACACCTGCTGGTTCGAACAGCCACCTATGTCCTTAAACAATGCAGACAAGGTCGGCCAAAAGCAAAACAAGCAAGATGGTGAACTCAAGGCTTCAGAACCTGCAAGCTAATTGATGACATCCCATTGTCCCAGTGTAGAGGGAAGGCACAAGCCTTGACTTGCTGGATCTTAGGTTTAGTTAAGATGATGAGGAAACCGTTGGCAGGTGTTAGCCAAAGCTAAGTGATGTAGCATTACAGTTTCTGTTGTCGTATCATAAGGGTTCTCTTGGCTAACATTAGTGTTATTTAACATTCGCTGACTGCCTCAGACTACAAACAGCATTATTTCTATCTAACTTCAGCTCCTTCTGTCTGCGTGACAAAGTGCACATCACTTAAAGATGGATCCAACAACGTGACATAAAGTCATGTTTTTTTTTCTTCTGGCTGCCTGCACTCAACAACAGCAGAGCGCCTTAGGAATGGGGTGCAACAGAACAACCAGAGAACAAGCTTCCAAAATGTCTAAAATAATGGAATTATTGTGAAGCACATTCGAGTGAAACCACGTCAACATTTGATAAATGTATGCCTTAAATACATTTAAAAAAAACAGGTGTTAAACATTAAAGTGGCCTCTGAGTGCATGCAAGGCTTGAAAAGTCACGCCCATAAACGACTCAAAAGGGTAACTCTGCACCAAACGTTTGGATCAATATCACCAGAGTAACACTGTCAGACTGATGTCACAGCAGGGGGTCAAACTTGTATGTGTTGTAAATCAGTCCAGAGGGGATCGGGGGTTATAAAAAGTGCTTACTCGTGTGAGTTTGTGTGCGTGTGTGTTTCCATTTTCAGCTGAGTAGAAAGGGGGTTCAAATATATTCCAGTTAATTCATACTTTACTCGTCATATTAGATTGTAAGAGAGAAAAACTGAAACATCTCTATTAGTCAGTCTAAATAAAACTGTTGCTGTAAATTGCATCAAACTTGAAGGTTGAATCTGATTGGCTGAAATCCACTTGCGATGTCAGAGGTAAGGTCCTGATGAGGTCTGACGGCCTCTCCTCTAAAGGCACTGGGTTGTAAATAACAAACATGAAGAAAAGGATTATTGAGTTTTTGTTTATGATTTTTCTACTCTGTAACTATAACTAATGTTGCCTACTTGTACCTACCTACCTGCTGCCGTGCTACAGTTTAATCCACGACGACGTTTTCTGTTTTTAATGTTCATATTTTTGCTCTGAGCTTTCTCAGTCAGACTGCTGTTTGGTTTATTAAATGCCAAAACGTAGCTTTGTCATCCAACAGGAAAAGCATTATCAACGTGTGGGAATTGTAATAGTGTAGGATGCATTGTGTATACTTCATGAATTTCAATATATAAAGATATCAACACAGGAGTACATTTGCCTGTCTCTTTGCTTTGCTCTTTGCATATTACAGTAAATGAAAAATCTAACTGCAGCTATTTTCTCTCTTCTCTTCTTTGTTCTTTTCGTTACAAGTTTATAGAATCCTAGTCAACAGAATTCTTTACAAAGAGAGATTGATTGATTAACTCAATAAAGATGACTGATGGAAGTAAGGGCTTTAAGAACCTGTCAAGACATGACATCACAGTGCTTGTTGAACTGTGACCAAAGTACTCTTTCCTAAGACTACATTGGAAAATAAAATAAAAAACATTTTATTTATACCTGCATATTTTAGCGCATCAAAATATAATCAATCAGTGTTGGTTAACAAAAAATGAAGAAATCACTAAGAGCTCCATTTTCTGATGTGAATTTCCACAACTTAGTGACATTTTATAGACTAATCTAATAATCAGGTAATCGTTCAAATTGGGCAAAAGGCGCAAGAGTTCTCAAATATGAGAACTTGAACCTCAATGAAATAGTCTATAGATCAAATGATTTTGGTTTAAAACTGAGATCTTATCAGAGATTGTATAAAAAGTATTACAAGACCCCTCACTGCAATATTCTAATCCTTAGTTCTGCGGACACTACTGTTCCTGCAACACCAAATAATGTGTGTGCTCCAAGCTTAAACTTTGTTAAACCTTTTGAACTTTGATCAGCCAAAGGCTAATGCACTCTTTTTCATCATCAAGACAAGCGAGATGTGGAGAGTACATGTTTCAGGATTCACCTGGAAAAAGTGTGATATGATCTAAATTGAATGAAACACCGAACACTGTGACATTTTTGGCAAGTTAATCAAGAATGGAAGGATTACCAAATTTGAATATTTAAATTGACTGTGATAATTCTAAAGCAAAAGGCCTGATTTCACCTCTTCCTGTATCCAGTTTATTTGACAAATGAGTATGCCTTGTATAGCTAAAGATGCACAAAACATCTCCTCAAGTAGCCGTTTTGAATTCAAAACACTCCCTGATACCATTTTGACTCTGTTTCTGACAACAAACACCTCCCCTAAATCACTTTGAACAAGAATAGATGACAGCCAATGTTGCTTTTGAGACTCTCACCCTTCTCAACCTGTCACCTGAAATCTTAAAAAGGTGTTTAAAGTTATTCATCTGGCAACGTTTTGCATCTTTATCCGTTTCCTGAGTTTAAAAACTGCTTCTCTTGAAAATTCAAACATGTAGATTCCTCTTCCGTATCCTGACTAACATTTCATATTGCAGCTGAAGAGTAGAAGAAGATTAAAGAGGCTCAGGGCTGTTGTAATAATGAGACTTCTCTCACTCATCTCTTGGGAACACTTCTCTGGACATCTGAGAGAGTTTTGAACATGAAATAAACCCATTTTCTTGGTGCTAATTATGTCTCATGAAAACAGTTTCTATCTGTCAGCCAATTGAGCGAGTTGTTTCCCTGGAGCTGGATGAATATCTTACGTTGGCTCTGGTTCTAAGTTCCCCCTCAGAGATGGTCCATAACATATGGTCACACTGTTATCTGTGTCAGGGAGGAGCTATTTTCACCATGGCCTGAGTGTATCAAATACAGTGTGCTCTGATTGTGCTCAGGGTCTCTCATATATCATTTTGCACTGTTTATAAGTTACTGCAGGCCCATCAAATTATCACCTTCAGTAACGACGGCCGTTGGGATGTTGGCTCTGCCACCATGACTGCAGATTGCAAAGCAGCAGGCATGACGAGTTTGAAAGCGGGTACCTGCAGCAGCTGGAGGTAACAAGCGTCAGCATTATGCAACAAGCCTGACACCTTCCCCTCCCTCCTCTTCCTGTCCTGTGTTAGAGAGCTAAAAATACAGCCAGCAAGGCAGCAACAGAGAAAAAAAAAAAAAATGTGAAACAGGAATGCTGATGGGACGGGCGTCTTCAGTTGCTGCTCGGCTCTTGGTTAATGATTTGTGTGACAGGGATGAAACCCGCAGTGTGAGGGGCAGTGTGGGTCTATTTCGACCCCAGAGGCCCCCCAACAACCTTCTGAACTCAACGTCACCTGATCCCCTCAAGTCATCTCCTGCTACTTTAGCCGCCAGTAACTTAAACAAGTTGAACATGTGATGTGAAAAGGCCCCAAATAACCTTGTGCTGCCATGTTGGAATTTTGAGTTAGACAATGAAATTGGTATTCTTCAAAGCTTAATATTATTGGTCAGTGTTTCAACATAGACTGTTATGAATGTAGCCAGTGTGTCATCACTGTTTAAAGCCTAATGTTCAGCCTTTTGACAGTCACCATGACTGTTTGTTTGTTCTATTGAGCCACAGGGTCCTTTTAGGAGAACAACAAGGAGGCAACCTCTGCCAGTGCAGAAGTGTAAATAACTGCAGTTACTCGATCTGAAGCTGGCTCCCAAAGCTTCCTCATAGGGGCCCATAATAACATATCAATATTTACAGTAGAAATTAGCATCATTGGCCTCTTCAGATACTAAAGGGTGTTGTTTTTGAGACTGCGTCAATTTTTTTATACAGTCTATGAGAAAACCATGAACAGGGTTACTTTAAATAACCAGCCTCTCATCACTATGGCAGCCATCATTTTTACAGGGAAAGAAAACAACAATCCTGACTCCTGTGCAGATGATCCACAAATAATTCAAGGCACAAGAAACACTTACATTACATGGCCGATAAAGCTGATTCTGACATTTAAGAGCTAGCCAGGTTTTCAAGCATAAAAACCTATACTTGATAATAAGAGCTTTATTCAAATAATAAAGAATTAAACTTAACTTACCCAGCTGTCTCTATTTTTAGTCTTGTCGCGGTCATGCACCTGAAACTGTGTTTACTGTCGAGTGTGCTCCTTTTTTGTTGTTTCTGTCCTTGAGGTTGCCACTTCGTTTTGAACTAAACAAACTGATAATCTATTAATCTATGCTAACTCTACTTTTGTTATGATATATCCTGGAGATATAACACTTTGAACAACAAGGGGATAATTGAACATATGTCTAATTTTTAAATGTATGGATTATCCACCATATTTTAAACCATTTTTTGTGACTCATAATTAAATCCATATTTGGATAAACACATAATTCTGCACTATATACTGTATGCCAGTAGACTTTCATTAATGTCCCTTAACTTTCAACAAATTTAATTTACATCACTGCAGTTATTTGCAGATAACAGTGTTTAAGGTCATAAACATGTCAAAGCAGAGTGCAAAGATACTTCATTACAGCAGTCAAAGCTTTCCACGGTTAAAACTCAATTATCCAGAATTCAAACATTATATGATGAAAAAAATCAGTATGGATTTTCATTTATTGAGGAAAAGAGAGGTTAACAGGCCTTTTTCCAATGGTTTCAAACAGTACAGAGTGTAGAGGAGAAAGAAGAGGCCAGCACTCACTTGAGCGTTTGATTCCCTTAAAGCTGAATATTATGATTCATCTGAAGCTAATCGGTCCTACCACTCATTCGTAATTATTCTTAAAAGCTATATGGGAGGTTTTTTTTGTTTATAAACAAAATATGTTTCTTACAAAAAACAAAAACAAAACAAAACTCAGAATCAGCCTTCATGAACTCGACACAGTGCGTTGAAACAATCATCCAAAGTATCGTGTTAATCTTTAGGTCCCACTGTTTGGGGTTTCTACCTTAAATATCTCAGACAAAGCTGCCTTCTATGTGAAGTGTTTTTTTTTAAGTACACTACATCAAAACAGGAGGAGAATACATGTCGACCTACTCTGGGATCGCCCAAGGATCCATATAAGGTCCTCTCCTGTTTGGTGCCTGTATATTATACATGCATGTCTTTAACTTTTCTGTAGTAAATACACAAATGCAGATGATGCAGTTTTTTATGTCCATTCAAATAAAAAAAAGGGAAGTTGAGAACTTAACAAAAATAATGCTATATTGAAATGATTTATATTCTCATTCTTTTTCCCCCTGGGTCAAATCTTTAATGCATGATTCTCTTGGTCTTTATCCTGAAATGACCTCCCCAGAAACTATAGCAACCCTGTACTGCCCTCAGCTGATCACCAGAGTGGCTGAACAGATTGTTTACCAGTCACCTCATTTGACAACCATCTTCCATATAATTTGAGCTGCAGTGATATCCCTTAAGAATGTTTCTAACATGTTAACCAACACAGGGGTAACTCCAAATAATGACTTCAAAGAGCTATAATTGAGAGGCAGATTCAGTTTACAGGCCTTATTAAATCTTCACCAGCGATGAAGCTCTCAATAAACAGTCACCGATGACCGGTGTCAGGAGGGAAGGGCTTGGTCCTGTCAAATTACTCTGATTTGTGAGTATTTTGCAGCTTCCTGTTACCAGCTGAAATATAACATGGGTCATCCCGAGAAGCTGTCAGCCATCCAAGGTCATTTATTACTCTTCTGTGAATGAATGTGGACCATGCATCGGGATGCCTCTGGGATTCTGTGTCTTATTAGTTTTCCAGATTAGTGTGTACATAACTGTGAGATCAGGGGACGTGAGAAGAGGCACACAGCCAAGTTTTATCATCAGACCGTGATCTGATATTTTTGCTTGATCATGTCTCATCCTGACAGAATGAACTATTATCCTCCTCGACTACACGCTTTCTTGGCACTTCAAAGCTCTTTATTGTCGTTAAAAACATTCTTGCTGAGGATTTTTGTTTTGTTGTATTTTAGATTTAAAATAGTCATGGTTGTTGGCATGTAAAAACAGGATAGCATTCAGATGTTTTGACACTTCTATCTACCTGTATTTCTATAGAAGGCAAGCTTTCAGCAAAAAAGGAAACCAGCAACATTTGATACATTAAAGAATCCACATCTTTTCAGTAGAGTAATTTTTCTGGATAACTGTCATCTGGAGAGTTTAATCCTCACCTTCTTGGTCTTGTTTGCTTTCTCTTGGATAAATTCCCCTCTTTTTCTCCGTGCACAAACATACTCATTGGATTTCAGGATGATTGGCGGCAGAGGCTGTTTGCTGCTGGTGTTGACTGTTGATGTCACTGGATACTCAGACTCAGCCGTCAGCAGAGCTTCTCTGAATGTGACTGACAGCTCGGGGTGCTGAACAGCCATGTGCTGAAAGTCTTCTTAGGAAAACCTGCCAATTATCACCCATAACCTTTACTGTGTGATTATAGTTTGACATAATGACACAAGAATTATCACTCGTAAGTGTCAAATGTGGCAATCTTAAGGTACAACTATTATAACATTTGATAAGTGCCATCCTAAACCACACCAATATATTGGGCTCAAAATTACATTTTTGAATGGTGCAACTTAAATAGATCAGATCGCTTTTAAGGTCCACAATCAAGAGATTCCTGACTTTTAACTTTTGTTAATTGACAGTTGTATATGTCCACTACTTTGGTTTACGACCAAATACCTGCAAAATGTTTTACATTCTTATTAGTCTCAGATGCAACTTGAGTGAGCTTCTGGAGATTTTATCTGACTTCTGTTACACAGACTTCAGTAACAGCCGACACCAAATCAATTATTGCATTGCATCAGTTTGACTGAGGTACTTACCATAACTGTTAAGTTAAATTTAGGTGAACATCATACCAACTAAACTTCAGCTTGTCAAGATTAACATTTTGAGTATGTGAGTATGCTAACATTGGCACGGAGCACAAAGAGAGGGAAGTGTCGCCTCACAGAGTCACTAGTGTTAGTGGACTCATTATCTTATTTAAGTTGTAAATTCAAGTTTGTCCTGTTCTACCTCAAGCAACAATATTTTCATTTTTATATTGCATGATCATGATTCATTTAATTTTCATTTTTCTTTTGGCTATTTTCTGCCATAAAATGTCACCTTTTTTTTAACTGGCCTCCTCTATTACAGCTGAAATGAAACTACTGCAAAAAGGAAAGAGGAGTGTTTTCACAGTTACAAAATGTTCTTTATACTTTGCATCATGTCTGCACTATTAATCTACTATCTTTAACATTGACATATTTTGGTCCCCCTTTTTATTCAGTCTTTAAAACTATGTTGTTAAACTTTTACCCACAATTAATTTCTCAGAGATTAAAAAAAAAAAGGATCACATATAGAGATTCAGCACTTTCTCCAATTTATTCATCAAGCATAGATTATGTCGAAAACAGTGACGACCACAGATCATCACTGTATGAATGTTGCTACCACAGCGACTCAAAATAACCTTCATGGTTTGTCGTTTGGCCTCTGTTCAGCCTCTCACCCTGTCATCATTACATTTCACAAAACTTTGATAATTTGATGGGTCAAACAGATTCTGTGGACAGATATCACTTTATAGTTTCATTGGCAGCACCTTAAAACAGTTTCTTTTATCCCCTTTTTGTCAAAAAAATAAAATAAAAAAATCATATTTACAGGAAAACATAAACACGCGTCACTCATAAGACGCTACGTCCGTTGAAACATAAATGAAAATTGGAAAAGGGGGAAAACACAACACAGGATTTCTTATATGGGGGATGCGCCCGAAAACAACTTTCACACACACAAGTATAGCTCAAAAGATATATAGATGTATATATATGTATGTATCCATATATATTCTGTATATATGCTTCTCTACAAAAAAGCAAGTTTACTCTATGAGTAAATACATTCTACTCTACAATCACTAGAACAACAGTGTACATTCCCAACCAAAATGCTTTGATCGTTTATCAGGAGGATATTGGGCTTAAACAATCAGTGGAACATGACCACAAAATATGCAACAACATGCTAAATGTGATAGCAATATTGTGTATATGTGTTTTCTTCCCATTCCCTCCAGTTAATGTGCTTGCCAGACGAACCCCCTCCACCCCCTCGACACACACACACCCTGGAGAAAATGATCTGTTAAGCAGTTAGTCGGGTTGACTTTGCCTCAGCAGTTGAAATGTGATCCTGAATCTATTTTCAACTCTTGGATGGACTTTCCGGCTTATTCTAGGTCTGTTCTTACTCTGCATCCACATAAATGTAGTCCCAGATGTTGAACCACGCTTTCTATGCCAACACAAGAATGAGAAAGATCGTTTTTCTTTCATAAACATGGTGGATTTTTTTGTTTTTTTGTACCTGACATTTTGTAACCGTCTAGACGTTGAAAATCAGATCACATGCAGCACCGTCTCTCCCTTATGAGACTGAAGGGATCATCAGATTTGTGCAACAAAGGCTTCAGAGTCTTTGGTGTCTGGATAAATCCCATCACACAAAAAAACACACTGGATCCCCAAAAGCATGACTGGAATAATTTTTTCCTTCTCTTTGTGTTTAGGATCTTTTACCTGGCAGGTGGATGAAGAGGAGCCTTTAGGGGGAAACTGTGTCCAAACCATCTCCAAATTAAAAGTCCTACTTTACCTGGCAATGAAAGCACAGCAAACGCTCTGACTAGTGAACATATTGCAGCATCTAAAATGTGAAAAGCTCCAAGTATTTGGTGCCAAAGAAGTCTTTTGATGACAGCATTCGTCCTTCTTTTCTCCTGACAGCAAAGCTTGAGTTGTCCACAGATGACGGCTGTTTCTCTAAAAAGCAATCTCATAAGCTAAATCCATTCCACAGACAGCTTTTTTTAATCATGGACATGGGACAATATTCTTTCTCTGTTCATGGCTCAATTCCTAAAGTTCAACCATGGCTTCACCACCTGTGTGACTTCACTACATACAGTACAGTCTTGCGTGTAACATACAAACCACAGAGCAAAGAATGTCATGCTGTCTCTATGCGCTAAGATCTTATTGTTGGAATATTTACATTAGTGATTACATATTTGCTTTTGTGTGTGTGTTCGTCTATTTGCATACATGTTGTGTGTGTCAGGTGGCCCTGAGAACAATGTGTGGGTGTGTTGTGCTTCTTAGATGTACAGGTGTAATTGTTGATCGCCCAAAGAGAGGCATTGTTTGTGCAGGGAGGGGGAGGGTGTTGTGAGCACAATGGCTGCTGCTGTTTCTTGTGATATAGGGATTTCTAACTGACAATAATGGAGAACAGAGGAGCAGGAAGAGAAGAACATGTTTCACTAAACTAAATGGCAATCGAATCCAACACAAAAAAATATTGTTAAATCAAGTTTTGCCATTGAACGTTCCTGTCCAAGACTTCAAATATGGCTACTTTGAGCTGGTTTCTACCGGGGAGAATAATAAGTCACATTTATGTTGTTTTGACAGCGTGGATTGTCGTCTTCCTGATGGTGCAATATGATGGGAAACGCTGCCGGAAGATGCAGATCCTCTTTTCTCTTTCTTTTTGAGGTTTCTTATGAAGCGTCATTAGTTTCTCTTTCCTCTCTGTTTTTAATATTTCTCTATATCATCACATACTCTCTGAGAACAAGAAAATATAGTTCTATTTTTTAACCTGCAATAACCCTGATTAGACAACAAGAAACTTGGATGCAAATGGCCTCTTTTTACACCATCACTCAGGCGGATCCTCTGGTGATAAAATGTAATGTTTGTGTACTATAAAACACAGAAAAACTGACACTGCCTAAACAGGAAACAACAAATCCCTCGCTTATACTGATCAACCAAACCAAAGCCTATGCCTTTTTTTAATTTTTTTTAGACCTACTGTGTTTCTCTAAAATCTCCCTCTACCAGCCGTCCTCCATACACGACCATCCAGCCTAACAGAGCGGGGAAGAGGACAGGGTCAGTAGTCGGGGTGACTCCTCCTGCGTGTCTGTGTAGTTGGAAGGGGAAATGAAAAGGTTGCTCACTGAGGTATGACTGTCTGCCTTATTAATGTGGGACATCTGGACAGAGATGGCGGAGGCAGGGAGAGAGACAGAGGGCAGAGGGGAAATTAGGAGAAATTCTCCGCTGATAGAGAAGCTCTGTTTCCACATGGCCAAGGCTCTAAGTTATTCACCTCCATGTGAATTCCACAGGAGAATGAAAAGTCAGGGCAGAAATGTCAAGACTTTTAGAGGCGGATAGACGTGCTCGGAGATTTCACAGAAACTAAAAAGATAGATACTCACTGCAAAGATTCACAGGTAAAAAAAAGTCAGCTTGTTAACAAGCTGACGTTCTAAGAAGCAGGGTGTAGTTTCTAAGACATTTTAACATCTTAATACCTCTCCATGTTCGAGAAGGAAGACGATCCTGGCACTTTATTTACTCATTTAAACACCAGCCAGATATGTTTTCTCATTTGTAAACAAAGCTTAGCAATATGAAATATTGATCAAGGACACTGGAGCTGCAGCGCGGGTATTACAACAGGTTAAGGAGGACCAGTTAAACTTTAAACTCATGAGCGCTTTGTGTTACAGATTTCATTAACAACTTTGCCCTGGGAATAGAAGATGATGCTACAAAGACATGGAAATAGTCAAACAACACACTGGATATGTCCAATTGTTAAAGGTGGCCGACACATTTTTCTTCCTAAATTATGACACCACACTGATGAATGTGACTTCGCTGCTCCAAGATACAGAGCACCACTAGAAAACAAGCACCTATCATCCTTCATTTAGACCTAAAAATCCTGAAATCACAGCTACTTGTTTTCCATCCTACGTGAAATCCACACATTTTCTTCACTGTCAGCTTAGTGGTGTTCCACAATACATTTCTTATTTGACTTATTGTTTTCCAAAAATTGGCTTTAGGGCCTCGGTGAGCCCTCAGTCTCATTCTCAGGCGTCGGTTTTGTTGAATCAAAGCCGGCACAAACATGTCAGATCAAGCTGGTGCCCAGATCAAGGCAAGCGTGAGGAGAATCAAAGCCTTTTGATGCACATTCTGTTTGATTTTTCACTCCGCTGTCTGACATCTCATCTCTATCAAAGGGCCAAAATACAAAACAACTAATGAACAGGGTGAAAGCACCACATGCATTTATACATGCGTGAGAAATATGTCAGCGACGGCTCTAAAGCCTCACAGATAACATCAGACTTGCGTAAAGCACACTATAGCTTAGTGGAATATATCTCTTCTGAGTTGAATCACCAATTTGATATGTGCTAAACCACAGCAGTCCCACTAAAATATCAACTAATCATATGCAATAAACTTGTTTTTTTTTTTGTTTTTTTTTGGTTCGATTAAAGATTTTTATCAGACACCATGCTTCAAATGCTCAGAAAAAAACGAACTTCAGTCTCATAACATAGTGAACGTTCTTACAAGGTATGCTGATGTCAAAAGCTAACTCTGGCTTGGTCATATGTGTCTCTTGGTGGAAATGTTGACATTGTGCCTTCCAAACTTTGAGAGTGTTTACTTGATTGACAGGTGTCTCTTTCCTTACCAAAAACAGGACGCCATGAGGGCTGCAACTTTGGATGCACCGTCCAACCTTTTCTCTCTGAATAATGACACAGTTAGGAAAGCAATCAGTCTGCACTCATCAGGTACCATTCCATCATCCTATCCATGTTAAAAGCCTGCTTAAAGCTCTAACTAAGTTCTGAGATGTGATGCAAATTCAGGAACATATACGACAAATTCAAGGTTCTCTTGATGTCTCGGTGTCTGGCAGCATCACACTGAAATGTGCCCCTTGGAGGGAAGGGTGTGTGTGTTTTCTATGCAGAAAGAAGGAACAGAAACGGGTGTGCATGAACTGTGCTTTTTGGTCCCTAAGGCGAGCGGGACAGAGCTGACATTTGTTTCCGAGAGATGATGGGTGTATCCGCTAAGATGTGCTGATGGTGGAGGGAGGAGTGCGTACATCAGAGTATACACATATCATACATTTACAGTACTGTACTTTGTATTCGTACTTTGTAACAACAGTAATCCCTGCCAGCAGTGAGACTATAGAAAATGTGCTTTCTGACAGGAAAATTGTGTGTAAGATTAGGATATGAGTGTGTTCAGTAGTGAGCACCTCTGGACCGGGGCCATGTAAACAAACCTCGGGCAGCAGAGAGCATACTCAGAAAGGCTCAAAAAGACATCAAAGAGAGAGGAAAAGCAGGAAGGAAAGGAAAGGAAAGAAGGAAGCATATTATTCTAACAGCACAGGTTAATAGAATACCAAAGATAATATTGCATCCTCTAGGACTAGCTTCAATTGCTCAGTGTATATAAAATTGGAAGAAAGCTATACTGTGATATAACAGTTACATTTCACTTTATAATTCTAAAATAATTTATACCAACAATAGTTATATTTTATAGAATATTTACATAAATACATCCTCATATAGTAATATTATTGTCAACACATCGTTATAGAAACATACACCATACGTACATATATGTGTATATAGTCATGTTAAAGCCACACGTACACACACATACAATGAATATACAATCAAAATGAGCTATTGCAATGCTGTGTGGGGTAAAACTCCATCGGACATTCACATCTTCTCAAGAAAGTAAGCTCAAAGAGAGGAGTTCACGTGTATTGCTATAAGAAAAACTAGCCCAGCCTCGCACAGCAGTCGCAGCTGAACTTTTCTCGTAAAATCCGAATATTGCTTCGTGTAAGAGTTACTCTCTGCATCTGGGCGAGAGTAGAGAATAAATGACAGAGATAGGAGCTTGATGCGTCTCCGGTCAGCAGATCAGACAGTGATCTGATCAAACCAAAACAGTTGTAGATCCGAGAGTCCGACACCTGGGTAGAAGGCAGCAACCTCGGACAGACAGGAAATCACGTGTCCGGCATGATAGACAGGAAAGTGTGGAGAAAGTATCCATCAAGCTTGCTGCTTCTAGAAGTCAGAGAAGAGATCCTGTGGACCCAGATGGATGATAAAAGGAGCAATGGTCCGTGGCTGGTAGAAGGGATTGTCAATGAAAAGACCGCCTGCAGGAAGATGAAGAACAGAGGCAAAGAAAGCAGGAGTGATTACTAAAAGTCCTGAATATTAGATCTAAAAATGTCTGAACGAGTTCATACATACATTTATTTTCCTTTTTGGATAACCATATGGATTTAACAATGACTGAATGCAATTGCAGGATACAGGGGCAATTTAGAAGACCAAGGAATGAACATTTTATGTTACTTAAGTCTTTTCAAAAGAATTCAAAAATACATTTTGGCGATATCGTAAATGTCCCAGTGGAAAGATAAACAACAGTAATAGGAATGGCCAGTATGTTTAATAAAACAAGTATTGATTTTTTTGGTGAGAGAGAAAAGCACAATTCAAATTTAGATAATTAGAAGAATGTCTCCTGTTTTTTTCTAAATGCCTTCTTTAGTGTATTGTGTAAACCAACATCCATAACATGTTTGTCTGTTCTTGAAAATATTTTTCAATTTGTGACATGAAAATAGAAACGTATGGCTATCTATGTAAGTTACTTGAACTCTTTCACTTGGGGCAGCAACTGACTCCCAACCTGGAGGCAGAAATGATTTGGGTGTTGTTCACGAGTTAAGATGAAAGGGTTAATTTACAGAGCCATTTATTGACTTCCTATTGAGGTGTTCCGGCAGGTTAAAATGAAGCTGGAGCCATGAGAGTTAGCATAGCTAAACCAAAAGGCTCAAAGAGTGGGGAACTATGTCCTACACTTTAAATGTAAATAATGACTGCTCATCTGCACCGTCCAGTCTTTATGCTAAGCTAGGTTAACAAACAGCTGGGTTTAGCTTCATATTCAGCATAAAGTCATGGATATAGGGTATCAAACATCTAGTCAAATACTCATCATTAAGGGGGAGAAGGGTAATTCCTAAAACAATACTTCAATATTTTGTATTTACTGCTGTTCCACTAATTGGCATTGGGTAGCAAGCTGAAGAAAAGCCTAATAATAATTTGTGTCAGACGCTAGCAGCAAAGAAAGACTTAATATAAGATCAAACACAGGTTAGTTCTCGAAGTATACACTCTCCCTAAGGTTTCAGCTTTTTGTGAACTAAAAAAAACATGAACAGATGTATAACAGAAAATATAAACAGAAATCGAGATCAATCGTATGAGATTGAAGTAGACTTTTTAATTTCAAAAGATTTGACAAAAACTTGATGGAGCTTAACCAACCATTGGATAAAATAGTGGGTCCTCTCATCCAATGGCTGCGCCTCATAACCGTAACCATGGAGACGTCATCAGTGGGTAATCTCTCGATGGTGGGGTGACCAAGAAGGTGTGAGGGGGCCAACATGACTCAATCTCGACTGGTACTGACCGTCTTAATGGGATCGACTAATTTTTCTCCATTTCAGACCTTTAAGCTAACGTCTTCAAAATATTGTATTTTCATAAACATTTTCACAGTAGTTTATTCTTACAACAAACCTTTATGTTTCAAATTAGGATTTAGAATAGTTTGAGCCCTAGTTTGAGTGGCTCAGTAGGGGCTGCTTGTTTTTTTAGGGGGGGTAAAACATTTAAAAAAGACAAAACAGCAATGAAATGAAAAAAATGAAATAGAAAAACGAACATAATCACACATGTATTAAGATTTGAATTCACATGGGTAACTTTCTTGTGCTAAAATATGAAGGTTTAGATATAGTCCATGTAGAAGGTACATCCTTATCCTTTGGCAGCATTTTATGCCAAATTAAATCAAGTACAGCCCTGTAGTCTGCTGCATTAAGTTGTAGTTGGCTTGTGTGAATACATATTAAAAGATCTCTACTGTAGGTGATACCTCTGGTAGCTGTGGGAAACCTGCCAAATATGAATCCACATGAGGTAATGAGATCGTGCAGCTGAATACAAGATGCAGGATCCGACAATAGCTTTTTTTTAATTCATCCTTTGTCTGCTCCCCGTCTCTCTGAATATCCATAAGCTAAAGGGTCAAAAGGATGTAACAAGAGGCACCGAGATAATCTGAGGGATTGAAATTCAATCTGTGGGAATGTATGAGTGTAGAATACTAAAGCTAAATGTAAGTTTAGGTCAGAGCACTGTGTGACGATTGAATGATGAATGTATTTGTAAATTATTCCACAGTGAAAAAGCTACTGTAAGAAGTGAAAATCCAACCCAAAAAGCTCCTAATAATTCAATCTACTGAGTGAAATCCCTTATTTCCGATATACAGAAGGCAGTGCTCAGCTTTAATAACAGATCAACTTTATTCATCTTTAAACAATAATATTTATCAATGAGTCCTTCACACAGCTCACTTTATTATTTACTATTTTACAGAGAATGTGTTGTGTGACTCATTGCAAAGGCAATCCTCTCCCTACACATAAAAACAAAAAGGCTGATATACACTTAGAGAATGAGGACACAATTCACAGTACAAATCCTTCAAGTTTTTGCTTATCTCTTAAGAACTTTAAACCTGCAGCATTTTCCATTGACATAAAAGTTTTTTTACGAACAGTAACAAAATAAAAACAAAAAAGCGCCTTTACAAATCTTCAGCTTACATCTTCAGACCTCACCCCATCACTGAGGAAGTAGAAAACTAAAAACCAGGGTTTCCCTTATAGAAAATTAACTGTATGGTTTGGGAAAAAGGGTTTGGTATGTGTTTAAAAAAATAAGTCTGGTGCTTGTGTCTCCTTTGCTAAAAGAAGTGGTAGTGGGGGACGGGGTAGGCGGGCACTTTCATGACAGGCAACAGAAGCATTCTCTTGGGCAAACCTAGAGGGGAGACATGAGAAGAGCACAGCTCTGCATGAGACCAGGGCAACAAATAACCAAGTGTTCCTCTGCTCACTACGCTACACACTAAACTAATTCTAGGTCCAACAAATGACCCGACACTACACAAACAGGAGGGAGTGTAAGTGTGTGAGAACACATGTGAATGTGTTTAAACTCTTCATCAGTGGTTAGAGAAAGGATGAGGAAGAGCTTGAGAGTTAAATAGAAGAAAACAAAAGGCCAAAGTTTAGTTCAGGTTAGTACAACTTGGGTCTTGTTTTTGTAATTTCAGCTCATTTTTCTAGTCTGTATGAAACATAGATTGTAATCATGCAGTTATTTGCTGAGATCTGTGAACATGGCAACTTCTGAAGGGACAAGAGTGATCACAAGACAACAGTTTAGCCCAGTGTGTAGCGCTTCTTAAATTCATTGCTTTTCTCAGAATCTGTGTGACTGTAATACTACCTAAAGAAGCCCATGACAATATTATTAGGTTCGCCTTTTTTTTTTTTTTTTTTTTTTTTTTTACAAATTTGGGTGAGTCATTGATAGATTTATACATCTCAGAAATGACCCCGGTGAAGAAAAACAGACCAAAATCGCAAATTAAAGACCCAAGTTGTGATCAATTGGAAAAATCATTAACTGGAGTTGATTGAGAAGAAGCGGTAATCTTTTCTACTCTCTAGTAACAAACAACAGCTGTGTCGTTCAGTGAAGGAGCTCTTTATTCTATTATATAATACTCAACATTACATGGTATATAGTTCCTGGTGCTGTGTTATAATGTTCCATGTTGTTATGATTATGCTCTATGTTTTTCAGGTAAATGTTGTCCTTTAATGGTGAACTCCTCTATGATGGACTGAACTTCGTTCAATAATGTAAAGTGTGAGTGTGTTCTGTGTTATAAAGTTACAGCAGCTATAATAATTTGTCATGTTCTAAGTTATAATCGTCAATGTTCTCGGGTACAAGGCTCTGTGTTAAATGGTGTAACTTACTATGTTTGATGGTTGGTGAAATATGACAACATTTGATTTGGTCTTTGATATATTGTTGTTTGTTCTACTTTCTGTGATAGGATGTTCTGCATTCTATGATACATATATCTATGCTCTTCAAAGTAATATTCTGTGCGGCACTGTAAATCTTTTAGTGTTTAGTGAACTCAGCAGTATTCTTGAATGCATTCTAAGCGAGAGCAGCCTGATGCAGGAGCAAAGAGAAAAAGGAAGGGGAAAGGATGAAAGCTTTGTTTCCAGAGACAAAGGAGAAGTTATCAGTGTTATCATGAGTAAAATGTATTTTTTTAATTTCTCTTAAGTTTTACTTCCTTTCTTGGTTTTTTGATCGGTTTGGTTTGTCTCCAAATTTAACGCAGGGTAAAAGGTTTGGGACCACTATCAAATAATCAAAGCCCATCAGAGACAAACCAGACATGCTTAGTGCTGACACAAATAGTGAGCTTGCCCTAATTCTGAGTTAAATTCTAGTTTAAAGAAAGTAATTTCAATTTATATTGTCTGTGGGAGGATACAGCTCAGGTGAAAGCTCAGGCTAACTTGTGCTTGAAATTATTGTCCCACAATATGTGACAAGTACAGTTAAGTACTGAGACAGAGATGCTCATATTTATGCTTCATCATTCCCACAGAAAATATCTGATCAAATATATTCACTCAGTCACTTAAATTGCTGGTTGAGTGTAAGCAGAAATCACCACTGAATTCAGAGTTATTTTTTTAAAGTATCTTGGAGCGATGCCAGCTAATGAAATGAAACACCCCATATGAACACAGAGTTTCAGCTCCACCGTAAACAGAAAAACTAAGGCGTGCTTCATATGCATGGATGTCGGGGGGATACTAATCATCTGCATGGGGCCCAGGACTAGTTTCTTCTAGCACATAAGACCCATTCAAACTCTGAGCTGTAGGATGCACGGCGAGGCCTCCCAATGCTACATTTGAGCACACGCTTCACAAGGCTCAGTCTGTTAAGGCGACAGAGGGACATATAGGTATATATGATGTTTGGCCTGTAAATGTCTTTTATTCCTGTGTGTGTTTGTTTGTGTATCAGAGATCCCAGTGCCCACTGTGCACTGAGGACTTGTTAACCCTTAGCAGCAGAAGCGTGACAGGAGCAGCATTGCCACTGTGTCTAAATAATAGTGAATAAAGCAAGGAACTCACACATTGCGTCTTGCTAATCTGAACAGAAATGAAGAAGACAGCGCCGTAGATAGTGTGTAAGAGTTTATGTAAGACCAGAAAGCATTTTTTGTTGGTGAGAGGAGGCCAATCAAGGACTGCCAAAGTAGATGTGTGTGCGTCACTGTGATAATGACAGATTTTAAGAGTTTTACAATGACATCATGGGACTGATTTCAGCTCTGTCTTGACAGAGTTTGGGTCCAACCATAAACGAAGAGGTAGCGAGCAGCAGCAAGCAGTTAAAGATACAAATGATGGATTTAGCCATAGCACAGATTTGCTTGAAAACATACACCAACTAGGTTTAAGCTAAAATGGAAGAAAGTGAAGAAAAAAAAAACCTACTGAAGAAGTATTAATGTACCCACAGATGGTTAGCAGTTATGTTTTGGGGTGCGGTTGTTGTTAACAGAAGAAGGTAAGAGGCAAAACAAACATGAAGCACGTACCGTATGCTGGGGTAGCTGCTGCAGCGGGGCTGTAGCCATATGGTGTCCCAAAGCCTGTAAGGGAAGAGGTTACAGACAATTTCAATTGGGCACTTGTTAAATTCCTAGCAGCACTTTGCAACATCTTCACAGAGTTTATCTAAGTGAGCAGAAAGTTTTAGGTATAGTGGAGTTCAGTGGAACTCCACTGGTTTCCTGAAAAAAACAAAACACAAACCTAAAAAAAAAAAGTTCCCATTCACTCATTTTCAAAGAACAGGGTTCTGTGTTATTGGAGCTTCAAAACAAGCTAAAAACTTTTACCAGAAAATCTGTGAGAGATTCTTTCAGCACGATTCTGTGGTTAATACTGTTTACCGCATTAAACTGTCATGCAGAATCACAGCTACTATCCCCTGTAGTGCATGCTTCTGTAGGGTATTTTTGAAGGCTGTTTTATTTCTAATGAAACTGCGGGGAAAAAGGAATGGATGTTTATTGTTATCAGGAAACAGACCAGCAGAAGAAAATAAATGTCAGGACTCTTACAGTGAGCCAACAGAATAATAAATGCCAACGATGCACAAATATATGTGCTGAATATATAAATAAATACAACTGTCTGAATAGAATGGATATACTTGGTGGCAATAGGTGGTAAAAGTAAGTGATTACTATTCAGTATTCCTTATGTGAGGATTCAATTTTGAGCAACAATTCTTTAAAAACATGCAGGCATTAGAATGCACTGAAATAAAACCAGCTATGCTTTATATATAAGCTCTTGAAAGAGGCCTCTCTCTACCTGGTGTGACGTATCCTGGAGCGGCTGCACTGACGAAAGCTCCTCTTGCCAGGGCTGCTCTTCCTCTTCCTCTGGCTACCTGAGCTGCTACTGCTGAGGCCGCTGCAGCCGCCGCCAGAGCTCCTTTAGTCTGGACACAGTAACACATAATGTGTCAGTGATGCACATACACACACAGAACTGAGACACAGAGGTAAACAGATATACAGAAATATTGGTTACAGAAATCTGCTTCTACTTGATCATCCTCATTGACAAAAGTACAAGAGCGCTGATCTGATAGCTGTCAAGAATTGAGCTTATTGGACACCTGCTAAAGGAAGTGCTATTGATTACCATTAGTTGAACAAAGTGCAAATAGTCACACTTTTCTACAGAGCTGATGCCGGTGATAATAGACATTTAAACTTGCTGCCATTACCGACTGGCTCTCAATGAAAACATTTCCAGACTGCTTTGTTTCCATCTTGTTTTATTCGGTGTGTGTTAATGCATTAGACTTGTGTGTACTGTAAGTGTGTCTCCTTACCTGAGGCAGTATCTTCTTTTTCTTGTTTGCAGCTGCATTAGGACCAGAGAAGAGTTTTTCCAGAGCTGCTAGAGCGGCACTGGCCTTTGCTACTTTTTTATTGGGGCCCGCCCCACGAAACTTCTGCCCATCGACCTCCACCTAACATGCACACACACCACACACAAAAACACACTTATCAGTTATCAGTAACTCAGCCGGCGAGTCTGGCTGAACAGGATGGCTTATTTAGAGAAGCCCCGCTGTCAGGCAGGCCTGCTAATCAATCAGCAGAGCGATGGAGCAGCCAGGCATGTCGGAAAACAACACACCCCACAGAGAATAGGCCTGCTCCAAGAACCGAGCTGACTGATTGACTGTACCAGAGAACAGCCTGTTGTTCAATGTGTGGCGGTGTGGCTTTTTCTCCGTATGTGTCATTTTTCTGGTTAGCGGTTTAAGAGGTGTCTAAAATGCACACTCTTGTTTTATCATCTCTATCCATCAGTACACATAGCACTCACCTCCATAACAAAGCGTTTGTCGTGGCTGCCTCCACTTTCAGAGATGAGTTCATACTTTAGTCCTCGTCTCTTTTCGTTTAGCTCCATGACCGGATTCTTTCCACTCGCTGTCAGAATGGGACCCTGAGTTCGAACCTGGGGAGTGAAATAAAAGTCATTTAGTTCAACAGCCACTTCATAGCTTTATGAGAAAGCAACGCAGTTTAGAAAAGAAGCATGATGCACAAGTTTATGACTGAGTGTATGGATTTGTGCATTAGTGGATGTTTCACCTCCAGTGTGTTGGAGCCATCTGTGGAGTGTGTCTGGTTATTGCTGTGATGTGATGACGTCTCGCTCTTCCCCTCACCGTCCGACTTCTCATCCGAACTCATGGGGTCCAGGTCTGAGTCGAAACCTGTTGGGTAGCCCATCGCCTGAAGAACCTGGAGACGTAGGATCATGATGAAGGAAAAATGAGTTTGGAGGACACAGGACATATTCATTTGCTTTGATAGTTGCCCTGATTAAGAAACTAACAAATCCTGCATTTTTGCTATTGTTCACGTTTAAATGAATAAGTAGATTTTCGACGTGTTGTTACATCTTATTTGAAAGTCTAAAGTGACCTAATGATCAGGCATATCTGGCTATTTTCCTCGACCTACATCTCCTGAATGTTATGTGTCCTCAATTACTGATAGTCACTGTTTTAGGGACTTAAACATAAAACAACAAACAGACGCTAATCTGAAATATACATGATGGCAGAAGATTTAGCAGTATTCTCTATCACAGAAGTGTGGACATTTTTTTTGTGTATTTAGCTAGTTGAATGACAGTGTCCTTAAAACATGTAACATTAAAACTAATTATTTAGAAAAGCACATAAAATGATTTAAGGTCAATTTGAAACAGGAAATTCCAAATGATACATTTATGTCAGTTTGTGTGATGAGTCTGTTGAAACAAATTATATGGTAGTCATAGACCTGCCAGGTCATAAAGAATGTAACGCAGTGCATGAAGGGAAAAATATACAATGGTAAATTAGCTAGTCTAACAACCCTCCACCACATTAATACTACATAACATAACAAAAAGCGACACCACAGCATGACTGGGTTTAATCTAACTCCCTGTATAGTTAGAATAAAACCCTTTCAGCACAAGGCTGCATAGATTCACAAGTCCAATGTTATTCTTTAAAAGTACACTAGACAGAAAAGTGATGAAGCACAAGCAGAAGAAAAGGAAGAAGGACAATTCATTCGACCACATTGTGGGATTGTGCTACAGCTGCTGAAGCTGCGACTACAGTGAGCAAGAGAGAACAGGAGGAAGAGAGAAACGGACAGAAAGAAGGGTAAAAGGTGAAAGAAGGATAAAAGGTGAAAGAAGAAGTGAGTGGTGAGGAGTAAAAAAAAGGTAGGAGAGATGGGGAGAAAGAGCCTTTTATGGGAATAGAGCCGATAGCGGATTATCTCGGCTCTGTGCTCTAGAGAGCCTCTTTGTTCACAACCACTTAGGGATTACATGGATTTGCCCACCTCCATCCATCCCTCCTTACACACACACACAGTCACAGAAACCAATAGGCAGACACAGAGACATACATATTTATAGATACACACAGGTTTGGCCACAGATGAATCTTAGAAGACCAGGTAGCCAAAAAAAGGAAATCATCTCTTTTTTTAATTCTTAATTATCACCAGGTTCATTTTCTTTCCCACCTTGACGGCGACGTGCAGCTTGGCGGTCTTCTTCGAGGATCCAGATGCTTCATAAATGGTCCCGTCCAGATCCACAGACATGGTGAAGACAGGTGCGTGAACCGGGCCCGACTGGGACAGCAGGCGATACTGCAGCCCCGGCCGGATCTGGTTCAATCGCATCAGGGCGTTCATTGGCTGGTTGGAGTCTATGGCTTTACTGTCCAGAACTAATGCAAACAAATTGGGGAAGAAAAGCAGATTAGGATATATTTAATAAAGGATTGAAGGTGATGTATCAATTATCCAGGCAGAATTTGACATATTGGGCCACTTCAGAGAGACAGTATGAAGTCAATCATATTTTCTTGAGGGTCTCAGCACAATCCCTTGAAGAATTAAGGCGCTTCTCTATTTTCCTACTCTTTCAATCACTATCCTCTTGTTTGCCAATATCTAAAAGCTGCTGCTCTGTCACCATTAGTCGTGGTTCACCTTCTGCTTGTATGAAGAAAGAGCTGGGGATGGTTCGGTGGCCTACTAAAATGTTAGCAATCGATACTATTGATCTGCCTCCATGGAATGAAAGGCAAGTGGAAGACAGAGCAGTAGACAGGGGGAAAGAGAAATAGTGACAAATCTGCATGCATTGCATTACTTTGTTGAACCATGTTTCAATGTCACATTTATTTATAAAACAACAACGCTTAAAATGATTTGCATTGAAAAAACATTCCAATTATAACCCTACACCAGTGTTTTCTGTTTGTTTGTTCGTACCTTTCCTCAGATTCCTCTTCATCTTCTTGATGAGGTCCTTGTCATCCATTGTTCCATCCTCGTACGGCCTCTTCAGACCTAAGCCTAGAGGAAACGAACATGCAGAGAGTTACTAATCAATCTCTTATTATGAGAGCTATTGGTATGAACACCCAAAGGCACTCAGGTGTGTGACAGAGAAGGATGGCACAAAACTAGCAATTTGTGAATACAAGTGTTTCTTTATTTATTAAGATAAGATCCCCATTAGTTGTTACCTCAGTAACAGCAACTATAATTTTTGGGGTCCATTAGAGGAATAAACTCAGACATGATCAGCAGCGCAGACGGGCAGACCAGCAAAACAGTCAAACCACGAGAAAGGCATATAAGCTCCTTTCCTACATGCACCTTAATCTGCAAATGCTCTGGCAACTTTCCATGGCGGTGTCATGAGGCATGAAAAGGCTCGAGGCGAAAGTCGCTTTGAAAACTTGCCAACTCTCACTTGTGAAACATGGCAGAAACATTCATGCATGAAACTCCTGCAAGGCTTCGACATTTTGTTTCTGGTACACCAAATCTCAAGCTTATTTGTATTTTTGTGATGCTTCACAACAGGAATTTTTACAGTGCAACCAGTGCTGCTGTGTAGGGGGAAAAAAACACTCAGAATCATTCAGAAAGGTCATGTTATGTGTGAGTCTGAACTATGCACAACCACCCTCTGCATGACCACAGGAAGACTCTACAGAACGTTTCATGTAAGAAAAGGGCAGACAGACCATCAGACAAGCTTCACAGACAGTTTAAGAAGCAGGGTGGGAAATGAATGAAACCCTGAAAAGAAAAGACAGACATGTAGAGGATATACCAGATGGAAGAAAGATATACACAGGCTGAGGTAGATGGCATAAACGCACAGGTACACACACCTTCTTTATCCGACCAGGGGTATTTCTGTGATGGTTTATTTGAGGGAAGAGGATCCATCTCCAACACCTTGTACATCTGTCCAAATGCCATGAGTCTGAGGGAGTGCTGTTAAAAGCATGCACATAGATAGAGGAAAAAACAGAAGATGGGAAGAATAATTAAACATGTATTTAGATTATGGACATAAATAAGTAGTATTTCATTTAAGTTCATTTGAGATCTCATGTCACATTTCTTTATTGCATTTTATAGACTGTTATTGGTGAGTACTATCATACTCTAAACTGTGAGTTTCCCGAAACACCCTCAAAAATAAATAAATCAAATCTCAAGCCACAGCTCTGGAAATTAATTCCAAACACTGTCCTAAAGCACTCCACGCTCAAGCTGACTCACTTATTAATGAAAGTCTTAAAGGGGCCAATGCAATCTTTACACTCTGATTAGTACTGAAAGTGAATGCCCTGCAGTCTGCACTCAATATCCAACATTGAAAAGTAACTTCTGATAGATATAGCACAGAAATCAAGAATCTTTAGGAGAGGGACCAGGTTTTGGTGTTTGTTTGTAGTCTGAGTGCAATTGTCCACGAGTAGTTTCAACTGCTGCGTTGACAGCAAAAAAAGGCAGAATGCAATCTGCTTTGACACAATCATGGGTTTTCTTGTAATAGGAATAACATGAGAAGATAGGCTGACCAGTATGTGGGAGTGTTATTTAATCGTTCTCCATCCTCCGTACACACCCCAGATCCAACCAAACAATCAGAAAGATAACCTGAATTGCACACCAAGCTGCTCTGCTCATATAAATCCATTAGGGAGGTAGAGTGTCAGATATTCATGAGACTGTGTAGCTCATTGACAGAACAGCTCCTTCTCTCCTATCTGCTCTTGTATCTGCTCCAATACAATTATCCCTATTGACATTCCAGCCATGTTCAAGCTGCCTTCAAAGAGAATGGTCGGCAGGATTCACTAAGCCATGCGTCTCAGAGGCTGCCCTGCTCAGTCTAGTGTGTGTTTGTGTGTGCATTTGTGTGTGTGTGTGTGTGTGTGTGTGTGTGAGGAAGGACATGACAGCATATACGCACACAAATACTGTCCTCGGGGGTGTCAAGAGATGGATTTATGGCTTGCAATGGAAATAGGTTCCCACACTGATCATTAACATGCAGCAGCACACGGCTATTTCAGGAGACACATGCACGCTCACACCTGTGTGTTTGTGTATTTGTGTGTGCATCGTGTGGTTGAGGTGGTGATAGGCTCGTTCTGTCTGGTAATGGGCATGTGGTTACTGATTTCCATACACTGACAGCTCAGGGCGGTAACAGCTGGGTGATAACAACTCTGTCTTTAAGCTAACGTGTGTGTGTGTGTGTGTGTGTGTGTGTACCTGTGCGCTGTAGGTAATGGCCTCTGCCTGCTGGTCGGTCATGTTTGATAGTGTATTTGTTGGCTCTTTCTCACATGGGTCGTGCAAACCTGGACCACCTGGGGAGCAAGAGGAGACGACACATAAACACAAAGTCAGGTGTTGTCACTTTTAGTGTGTGTGTGTGTGTGTGTGTGTGTGTGTGTGTGTGTGTGTGTACTGACACGGCCACTCAGCGACATCTAATTAGGCTTCACTGACTGGAAATCCCAACAACAGTAGCGATAAATTGTCAGACCAGTTGCTAAATTTTAACTGTAAATGTCCAAAGACTCTAATCTTGTCAAAGATGTTGGAACACACTTTTGCCTTGTCAATTTTCTAAAATTTGTTTTGTTTAATGAATTGACCTTTTTTCTTTTTTCAAAACATTGAAAAATTGTCTGCTGACAAAAGTCAGGCTTTTGCATCCAATCTGCAATTTTCTAATTTCGTCAAAAGAAACTCACATTTTACACACTTTTGGATAGTTTTTCTTCCCCAGGGATTCACAAAGTTTCAAATGATCCTAATTCAGATTCTTCCATAACAATGTCTTTCCTCAGACAGCTGTGCGCCTTTGTGTCATTGGTTATCGACCTCTCTCTTAGAGAGGCTCAAAAATGTCCATTGACGTATCTCATCAGCCTAAATTTAACATGTTTCTTTGTGTCATTCACAAGCAGTGCCAGGAATTATTTTAAATATTCATGCATCCGTTCAACATGAATCTGTACCTGGTAGGAGTATGCCTGAGGCCAGACACTCCATGACTCGACGCAGGGCTTCTCCCGCCCCCAGAGGTCTGTTACAGGTGGCAATTGCCTTCTCGCAGACAAGCTCTAAAGGCTGCAAGAACACACACATACAGAAACAGAGTCGAACATGCAAATTTAAAACCAAATTCTTGACCAAGAAAACCAGCATGACCTTCATTAATATCTTAATGAGGCTCTATATTCTGCTGTGCAACCGATTCCTTAGCATACAAGTATTATGTAATACAGAGTTCATTTATGCAGACATTAGAGCACATTTTTTCAAAATCCAACAGAAAAATGAACCCCTCATTACAGCAGGGAGAATGAAGGTATTTTGTGTCTATTCAGAAAATACAAAGCATAAAAATGCATTAAAGTTCAAGGGAGCTGATTATTTCCAGCAAAAAGACTCACCCATCCCTTGAGAGGTTCCCATACAGGGTGTCTATTGCACATGTCTCTAAGTATCCTGAGAACAATAACGCAGGACTTGAGTCCATTCACTCGAGCCTGAGAGATGTAGAGGGATGGAGAAGGTAGGAAGATGGACGATGGACAAATGAATGAAGGGAGAATGAAAAGAAAAAGAGAGAGGAAGAGGATAAATTGAGCACAAGAGGAGTGGTATTTGTGCAAAGACATGCAGATAACAACCTGCAGAACACCACTAAGCCACATAATGAGGTGATTGCCTCAGTCTAATATTCTTCATGAGCTCCCAGAGAGAATTAATATCATGATTTAAACATTTTGAATTTAGTTTACAAAACAGGTTTTATGGAAAATGACTAACTCTGTTTATCTTTTTTTTTTTCTAGAAAATGTATACAGTCTGAACTTTGTTTTTGTAATTCTGTACTTTTTTTGGTCAGTAAGTTAAGTGAGTGGGTAGATAGATGGGGAAGGGTATGGGAGGGGAATCAAAGGGGAAGCATTGACATACTTTACAGAGCAGGCAGGTTCACATGATAGCAAAAATAAAAACAAGTATAAACCACTGCTTTTGTAGCCTTACGATCCTTTTAAAACTCAACTGGTTTTTCAGTTCATAAAAAATTGGTGCTAAATAACACTTTATATAGATACACACAGGTATTACTACAAAAATATACTTTTACCAAAATCTAAGATTGAGCAAATCTACAAAATTGTTGAAACCATTGTTTGATATTTGACATTTTTTGTGCTAAAAAAATGACCATATTGGTCATATTGTCTTCAATTCTATAACAATTAAGGATAATTGTAGTAGTGAAATTATAACAATGGTTCTATACTTATATCTAATCCTGGTTAATGTAAACTGGGTGGGCAAACTAAGCACCAATGCATTAACTGGCGGTGAGTGTTTCCCCCTAGGCTAAAATCGTCAGGCTACAATAAGCATCAGGCAGGAAGACAGGAAGTGAGTGGGTGCCGACCTGGAACCACTTGGCGTGTCGCAGCGCTGCCAGGGCCAACAGACATCTGTGTCTATCCAGCACCTCCCCCTCCTCCTCCTCCTCCTCAGCCTCCACTCTGTGCGCAGCAGCACCCAACACTGCCACAAAACAATAACAACCCAATATAGAGAAGATGAAACGCACACACGTCAGGTCTGAGTGTGTGTGTTTGAATTTGTTTTTGCGCGTGTGAATGTACGCAGACACACACTTCAACTGTGAGTGAATGCACACATACACACACACATGCATGGATATTTTGGTTACATACAAGGTGCTTTTCATGCCATAAAGTTGCTTCTCTCCCATTATGAATGCTCAATAAAAAATCCTCGCTCTCTTCATGTTGTCATTTTCAACAGCGTGCTCAAACTAACATGTGTTAAATGCATTACATGTTGGCATCCTAAACACTCTAAATACCCAGGATGCCCTGCCCCATGTATACTCACATGTTGAAAATTGCACAAACTTTTCAACAGTAGTTAAATAGCTGAAATCTATCCAGTCACTGACTTAATGGGAGAGCATTCAAGTTTACAAAGAAAGAAACAACTTTGTGGGATGGAAAGCCCCCCACAAACATACACCATCCAAATACTTAAGGAGTGTTTGATTTAATGTGCGTTGTTGGGATGCACACATTTCACTAAGCCCAGCAGGGTAAATCAATCACTCCTTCATGTATTTGAAGAGGATTTCATATATTTTGATCCAGTCTGCACCAGGCAGGAGTCAAAATAGGTGTTTATTTGCCTTCTGGATTACTTAAGGTGCACTTGATTTTCACAGACTCATAGAGAAACAGTGCAGAGAAAACAATTCCTGTCGGGGCGAACACAGAATCAAGCGCTCCTAAAGTAGATCTAAAAAATGAAAAGAAAAGAGGAATCTAAGATAGTTTGACCCCGTTGAGGACAAACACAACACAGGATGGGTCAAGGCAGGGTTCAGACAGAGCATTGTGGTTGGTAAAAGAGGAGCACTCTTCAGCTTTTCTATGTGAGGGTTTGATTCATACCGCCCAACACACTGAGCTGGTGGAGTTACTACACTCTCAACCATTCTGCTACAAAAACTCTGGTATGGAGGGCAAGCTGAATCAAACTGTGTGTGAATGGGAGCGGCCACATGGGGTTTCTAAAGAGGGATCTGTGTGAGTGTGAAATAAAGCACACTAAAGAGCCTTTTGGGTGTTAAAGTAAACAGAACTAGGTAAATATTTTTTTCTATCACTCTCCATTAAAACGATATTACTTCCCTCAAGAGGAACTAAGTAGACATGTCTGATGTGTTTAATGTGTGGCAGCAGCACAAGAACATCTATCGCACATTATCATGTTCCTCCCCTGGCTTATGCATGCAGTGCTGTGTATTCCTCATTCAGGGTGATGTTTTGGTTAATCTAAAAAGGTCTCTCAGAGTGATCGCAGCTGCATGTGGAACCGTTCTGCTGCTAGTGGATCATTAAAGTCACTCTGCTGTTTCCTCAAACGCTCTTTTTAAAATCATAATCTGCTTCAATGTTACTTACGGTGTCTGCTCCTTAAGTCTGATTTAAAAACCTCATTGCTATCGTGTTCTTATTCAGAGGAGCCTCACTTACTCGGTCAACAAGCTGTATTGGAGTAAAATAAAATCCCTGCATGAAATACTTAGTTCCTTCGTATCGGCCAGAGCTTATGGAAACATTGTGCGCACAGCTTTTGTTATCATTCAATGTGTTTTGCATGATTTGTGCAAAACCTTCGGAGTCTTTCAGAAATATGTCACCTACACATTGCTTAAAACGTTTTGAGCAGGCCAGGGCATATCACCATAGTCATGAGGCAGCCATTTTTGACATCACTCTCAGGAAACAGAGCTCAAATGCTGCCATTATGTCCTACTGCTGTGCTACAGGTTGTCCAAACAAATTGAGAATATGACAAGTTTACAACTTTGTGATGAATCTAAAACTCAAAAGTTAAGTTAAGACAATAGGAAATTAAAATCAGAGGGAGATCAGGTATAAAAAAAAATATACTAAAAAAATGTAAAAATACATTTGATAACTCCTCAGCTGGTCTAATAAATATGTTGTTGTTGTTGTATTTTTACACGAAATGTGGCCTGCTAATACTCCAGATTTTCATTCATCATTTACTTTCCAGGGGGCTGATCAATTAAACAATCAACTGTTAAAATGACATTTTCAGTTTCCCTACATAACATAGTTTCCCTATAACACCTTTGAATAAAGCAGTTAGACTTCATGACAGCATCAGAGAGTGTAGTTTAAGAGGAGAATGGCCACCATGTGAATATTGCTAATGGTTTAAGAGAGCTAGAAGAGGTGCTGACACTGGATAACACCACTGCTATTTGTGCCTTCAAATGCAGGTGTTAATGTATCACAGTGTCAGACCCTTCCTTTAAAGATGTGACCCTATTAGACAGACAGGCTCACATCCCTCAACCTCCTTAGCTGCCAGATAAAATCCGAGCAATTAGACACCCAAAGTGACAGGTATCTATATCTTTAGGGGGAAAAATACTACTGTGTGTGTGTGTGTGTGTTCTGCTAGGTGTGTGACATAAAATACAGGCGGTCTGCCATGATGTATGGCTAACCTTGGCTATCTCTCATCCCTCTGCAAGACCCGAGTACCTAGTTGGATGGGAGCCATAGGATGGATGGACAGCTTACTACAGCTCAGTTATTGATTTCCCTGCCCTGCTGGCCTTGCTCTACAGTCCCGCCTCCCACAACCAATTATAACCAGTTTCTTCTACCAATGAAAACTGGGGGGATGGGGAGGGAAGATTGTTATTAGACTGAATTCCAGTTTAGTATGCGGTTCTTGTGTGTCAGCTCTGGTATTAGTCTATATCAGCATCAGCTAATGAGGTCAAAACGCTTCTATGACGTACAAAATAAAGCAGAAACTCTATTGGAGTGTGTTCCTGTGTGTGTGTTGTAAGGACTGAAAAAGAAGGAAAACCTACAACTTGTGTGCTTCCCATTTTTGTTTTCCTACCTCGCCCGCTCTTCTTCTCCTGCTCCTCCTCTTCATCCTGGACCTCCTCCGCCTCTTCCTCTGCCCCCTCCTCTTCCTCTGCCACCTCCTCTGCTCCCTCCCCATTCTCCAACTGCTCCTCCTCCTCTTCTTCCTCCTCCTCCTCCTCCTCCTCCTCTTCTTCATCTTCCCTCATGATCGGCGAGGTGAGGGTAATTTTCAGTGTGAGTTTGGGCTCTGTTGTAGTTCTTACCAAGATGGCCGCCTCGGGCAAGGAGCTTGTGACCTCGTATTTCTCTTCTGTCAGCTTCTGTCATGTGTCAAACAGACACAACTGGGTGGTCAGAGGCCAAGGCCACAACATGACACAGAGGCGTAATATATCTAAGCCTGCTGCTGCAACAACACCACCAAGTATGACAGGAAGTTAGTAATATGTCCATGAGAGAACATTTGGAGGACTTATCAGTCCTGTAGATACTTTCTGGAGACTCTTTCAAACAGGGCTATTTTTTATGAAAGTTGCAAATATCCTGAACTAAAGCAGAATTTTAAATGTGAGAAAAGCTATGATGCTGTAGATTAACATTAAGTCAACTCTTTTTCTCTTGGGAAAGTAAACCATATTCTTGAATAAATATATCGAGCAGAAAATATCCCTAATTTGACAGACAGAAGTTTTCAACTAAGTAGGTCTAATAGCACACTATTAACATGGATAACATTTTATTTGCAAACAAGTTATGAAAAGCTGAGATAAAGAAAAATGAACATTTGAGGAAAAGAGGATGATGATGATCATTTGATGAAATACAACTGGTTCAAGCTCTTGTCTATGCGGGTATATTTCTTTGTGTTCACATTTCTCTATCTGTTGTTTCTTATGGTCTGACATCCATTTGTAAAATTGCCCATCTGTGTGTGCACCGTGCTTCTTCATTCAGCCCACATTCTGGAGGAATCAATTACTGCTGACCTCTGCAGTCAGGACCGATGATTACTGATGTAAATGAATTCATGTCAGCACACACAGTGGCCACATTTGTTACACGACACACTCGTATGTTTAAGCGCTTCCTTTGCATTTATACAAAGATAAATGGGATAACAGCTGCTTAGAACATTCATGCAACAGCAGCAAAAAATAATTCTGCAACAACAAACTACAGCCTCATCCACTAATACTTAATCAAACACACACATCAACACAACAAGCAAATATAAAATGACTTAAATTTAAGAACAGCAGTAAACACTGAAGTTATGTTGCCTTTATGGTTAGGTAGAGCATAAGAATAAAGAAATGAATATTAGTCAGGGAAATGTCCTCTTAAGTAACAAAAACATGTGTGGGTGAGTTTGTGTCAGGGTGTTTCTGACACAGCTTCAATGTGCAGCGAGTCGCACAGGGCCCATCTACATCCCATTTGGCTCTGATGAGAAAATCTGAATCTTTGGTCACTGGCCCGAGACATGAGATTACCTTCACACACACACACACACACACACACACACACACACACACACACACACGCACGCACACACACACACACACTTTGCTCTCCCGGTCATTCTACCTCTCACACCACTTAACAGCTGAAGAGAACGAGAAGGGAGGAGGCATAGGGGCAGAATTTATTCATTGAATAATTTCAGCTCCAGGAGGCCAGATTGGGGAGTTTTTGCCTGTTAGTTCTTGATGTTAAATACTTTTCCAGCTCTTCTCTTAGATTAGTGACTCGTTAATGTGGAAACATGACACTGAGGAAGTGATGCGACGCTGTATCACAACTCATTAAAACACTTCTCGACTTCTCACTTAATACTGCTGTTACTTGTCTACTTGTTACCCACCTTCTGTGCTTCTTTTCTACACCTACACACAAACTTAAATATGAGGTCATAGCAGGAAGGAAGTGCACATTTAGACAGGGGCTCATAAATTGTGATCTGAACTAAGAAATTCAATCTTGAACACTGGGGAGGGTGTTTCAATCAAAACATAACTTTGTTGAATTAAGTCACTGACGCTTTAATAAAACCACTAAGATTCAATTGTGCGTTTGTCAGCAGCAGGTTTGTGAATGGGAAAGAGAAAACAATAGATGCAGGCTAGAAATCTCTAAGCATGCGTGTGTATGTGTGTGTCTTACCTCGATCTGTGTGGGTAAATTGTGACAGACAGTGTCCAGCAATGTCTGTGTGGGTTTGTCTCTACACATCAGCACAAGCTCTAGGTCCATGTCGCCTTTGATCAGGAGGCCTTTGGCCACCAGGCCGATCCTCATCACGCCACACAGCACGCCACCGCAGCTGGACTCCCTGTTTTAAAAGTAAAAAATCAATGAGCGATAAGGTTATGGGCTTTTTTTTTAATCTGTAAGGAAAATGTCATTTCAATTTGAGACTCAACATTTTGATGTTACTTCACTTATTAAATAGAAATCTATTCTGGGCTCTCAGGGAGTCAGTGTAAAAAAAGTATTTTAATGTGTATCAATATTTAATGTAATCTTTGGAAAACGCTGTGTGATTAAAAAAGGAAACTACAAGGTGCCAGTCAAGACGGTTAAATAAGATAAGACAAGGCAATTCAAGACTTTAATGGGAAGAAGTGAACCCTTACTAAAAAGACTCATGAAGAATCATGTAGACTGAGACAGAAACTGTAAAGTGGCTAAAGTTTGTTACCCTGCCCCAAATGCCCCTTCTGTTAAACTAACGTTCTTAAAGGCTTTGTATGTGATTTTTCACTCTTAAATGTAGAAATCAAGTATATCCTCTGAAAATAACTCTGTGAGTCATGACTGTCTACAATGGGTGTAACACCTGAGTCCCACTGTCTGTGATGCTTTCCGAGTTTTCCGAGTCCTATCTTCAGTTTGTTTACATCGCCAGGACAGCTGGCTGACTCATCCCCTAGCGTATAAAAGTTTTTTAATTGAGGGACTAGAGAAAAGAAGAATAACATACTGTACTCACTGCTTAACTGCGTTTCTAGATCACGCTCATTTTGGGTAAATTTACATGCAGTGTGAAGATACGAGCATAATAAAGATCGCTAGCATTAGCATGCTAACACAACAATGCAGCGCGAGTTGTTTTGGTTTCATGCTGGTGCTCAAGGGCGACAACTGCAGGATAAAAAAAATAAAATCGCATATAAAGCCTTTAAAGGAAAAGTAAGAAACGTCAAAAATAATTTAGCATTTTTGGTCAGATTTTTCCTTTTCTGTTGTGTGTTTTGACATGTACGGGACAAATAAAAATAAATGAAAAATAAATAAAAAGATTAAACAAGCTAAAAGACGTCATTTTTAACATGATATCACATTTCTACAATTTTATTGATTCAATAAAAAAGAAAACAACTTCTTGTTTATCTGCAGCTCTACTCTGCCCTACCATACTCTCACCTGTAGCTTGCAGCCGAATCCTCAGTTTTGTCACTGGGCTCATCTCCATGGTCGTCCTCCTCTGTGCCGTCTGCCGGTTGGCTGTTGACCTGGCTGATATTGTCGCTGCTGCTCTGATCCAGCGAATCAGAGACGTGTTTGAGGGCACACTCCACAGTGGACACCAGTGTCTGCACAGCCTCCAGCTCCTGAGAGGAGGGGTAGATGGTGGAGTGCTTTGCCATGACATGGCGGTCATCGTTGCTGAAGGAACGGAAGGACCTCTGGAATTGGTAGAAGGATGAGAAAATAACATGAAGTTATCCTCCTCGTCTTATTTCAAACCGGCGACAGGTTTTAAACAGCAGATTGGTTTTTAATCCATCAAATAAAGCTTTGTATTCTACTAACTAATGAAGCTAACTAAAGACAAAAACACCATTTATGGCACAAGCAGCTTTTTGTGTGTTCGCTTTAATGCAGACAGGACTTGAAGAAATTAATTCTCAATGCAGTGACCCTGATATTAAAATTCATCATTTTCTCCACCTGCTTATTCAATCTGATCTTTCAGTTCTTCTGTCCCTCTAGTTTGCTTCATACTGTCTGTGAAGTGTAAAGAGGAATCCAACCACAGAAGGAAGAAATCAGGTGAGAGGCATCAGACGGGGTTAACAAAAAAAGAAAAAGAAAAGAGGATGTCTGAGATGCCAAGGGGAAAAGAAAGAAAAGCAGAGAAGGGCTTTGGAGGGCGTGCAGAATCTTCATTAAATGGTTTTAGAAGAGGAAGCTGAATTCAAAGATAAAAGTTACGCATGTGATAGAGAGCACCAGGTGTAACTGCGGCTTTTGTGACTCACACTCTGCAATTAATACCACCCAGATGGGCCAATGTGTGAATGCACACTCATATACAAACATCTAATAATGTGAGCATCAGCTGTTCTCTTCACATGTCACAGCACCGCAGTGGGAGGCTGTTAATGCAGCTAAATGGTTAATTAAAAGCACTTTGTTACGTTAGCGATGATTAAAACATCTGACCATTAAGTTTTAACTAATATAATTTGAATGAACTGATGCATCAGGGACATGTGTTCAGTGTTCGTGCACCAAACAGATGATGAGATAACCCTTTGTTAGTTTAATGACACTAACAATGCATTATCATTTATTATCAAAGCACACATGATGTCATTCTTGAGGCAAATTTATAATTAATACCAGAAATACCTCTATAACAGAAGATATGAAGATTAAAATACTTTTCATGATAAGTTCTTTCACATTAGTTCTTCCTTTATGGCTAGCAGTAGGGGTAGGACAAAATATCGACATGGTAACAGATCTTCGTTCTGACTTGTGTGATACAATTTTTGCATCTCTGGTGCGACATATCATAAATATATAAAATACAGGACTCTGAACAGAGTTCTCCGCCAGTTTGACTCACCATGTCATCACTTTATGACTTAACCCGGTGGCCGTTATGACATAAATTGAGCAGACGTTAATAACACGTTAATGATTCCCACCCCTAGCTAGCAGTACCAAAGCTTTTATTGAACACTTGATTCATTTTTTATTACACCAACTGTATATGTATACATAAACATGTCATTACATGTGGCATCTTCATTTTTTTCTATACTCGCTCAATAACAGCATCTTACTTTCTCTCTTGCTCTTTTTTTTTCCAAAAGCCCTCTTTAATTAAATTTAGATAAATATAAGTATGTTTACTCTTAAGATGACAGGGTATGTTTACATCAAAGCGTGTTGACCTGAATTTGAAGAAACAGGATATTATTTATCAATAGAGGTTATCTTATTTTGACGGGGAGCCTAAGGTGCAAACCTCAGTTCAACATGAGGAGGCTGCTCTCAAAAAAGCTGCTTATCTCTAAGAGCCACATTTCCCTTTATTCAGTACACACACTGAGTCAAAGAGAACCACACACCAGGCATGCTAAGTCACACACACACACACATATACAAAGAGAGAGTAGAGATGACCTTTCAATAGTAGTAAAGATAGTGCAGTTTGAGCACTTTGAACCTACTTGAAATCCAAGGACCACTGCACATTTTGCACACACACAGAGAAAAACACAAGTACACACACACACACACACACACAATCTTTATCCCGTTCTTAATTGAACGGGTGACATTCTCATTCACCAGAGTGAGTGAGATAAAGCCATTAACAGAAGGGAGGACAAGCCCTGCACAATGACTGCAGGCTGACAGGCTGTGTAGCTCAATATGCAGAGTTTGGCACAAACATTTGGCAGGGCGACACACTGCAATCCCACTGGGACTCAACTGTGATTCTTCAACACTTTGGCAATGCACGCTGGAGTGACACGCTGGAGTGAATTTAGATACCTCGAAAGAAGATGCAGAATTAGATTTATGTACCTAGTTTCATTGCATCATGCCTCCTTTTGATCAGACGACGTACCCAGCTTTATTCAACATTTAGAGAGAAATTCATACATTTATGTTACTTGAGATGCCGTCTTAAAAAAGATCTTAATTTACATTGTTAAAGAATAAATGTAAAATGTACACTTCAGTTGTATAAATGCATTCATGTTAATTTGCTGAAAATTAAGCGAAATAAAATGTGATTTATAAACAATTAACTAATAGAACTTTTTCTTTTCTTAAATAAATCTTTTATTAAAGACATAAAGCGACAACAATTTTGATGTATATGTAACTGAAATATAATGATTTTCCCCTTGTGTTACCTCTGGATTCCGAATAACTGAAAAATAAACTGGTTACTAGAAAGATAAAATAATATTTACTGAATAAGGGAAGTAATCTCTGCACTGTTTGAGTCATTTTTACTCTCTCCAAGTTATTCTTCTTCTGTAAATATTTTGGCCTGAGCACAAATTTTCTTAAAAAAAGGAGATGGCTGCGTAACCAGGAGTGTGTGTCCTGTGTGTGTACCTTTCTACAAGTGTGCCTTGTCAGAGCAATGTTTAACAGACCAACAGTTGCAGATTTTATGAGCCGTTGCTAATAGGAGCTCCTGCAGTCATAAACCACACGGCCAAGAGAGTTTCTGTTTTCTGTGTGTGTGTGTGTGTGTGTGTGTGTGTGCGCTTGGAGGTACTACTTGACCGTGGGGGAGTTGTTGCCCAGGCACCTCTGATCACGATGTAAATCAGAGCAGTTAAGGAGGACTCGCTGACAGGAATCGACCTCCTAAATCAGCAAGTACCCAGATAATGATGCAGACATTTCGACAGGTGACACTATAAGTCAGCTAATGTTGCAGAGATAGACGTGATGAAGGGTTGTTCACCTCCATACTTATTTATGAGAAAGTTTGAGATACAGTTTTCTGGATAATTCTGCATTTTTCACCATTTTTCTACAATTTCCTCAGAATGTAATGAAGTAAATATCTTACTTTTTGATCAAGAATATCTTTTTTTTTTCCTGTTCCTATCATTCCTGTTCAACAGATATGTTTTAGAAGTGTCTTTAAGATTAATAGGTTAACAAAGAGTCCTAACGTGTGGTTTTAAGCATTGAACATTGAATGCTTCACATGTTCTGTGTTGACCATGGCTGGGAATCTTTGGGTGTCTCACAATTCGATTTCCATTCTTGGGGTCACGATCCATGGATTCAAAGTCTATTTTTGGATTTGGACTGGCTGAATTCCGTGCTGCTCCATTTGGCATACCGAGTTAAAGAGCTAGCCTTAGCACTAAGATTTTTGGAAGTTATTAATCTATTTAAAATCTCAGAAGATAAGATTCTCGAGTTGTTCATAAAACCATATTTTTCCACCTCTAGTGTTGACACCTCTTCGAAGACCTCTTCGGACCCTGGTGACTCTCAAAAAGATGCACACCCCATGCACAATCTGCTCAAGACAACACCTTGGTTGTCCTTGAATCCACCCTGACCTGTTCATGACCTCAAGGTCAATCACACAATATGCTCCCCCTGTCTGAGGTTGAGAGCTTAACAAATCATAAATGATAGTTCAGTCCCAAAGGACCCCAACCAGATGCCTGTATCATCCCCCATCGCCACTTACACAAATGTAGACTGTGTCCAATTTCAGCACATTGACCTACAGATGATCCTGGTGAAAATTGAGTTAAACTGTCTTGCAGGGTCAAGGTTACTGCTGACATGTTTCCATAATTCATATATCATGTTCCAGTTTTTATTTTATAGTACAACAGAATTTTTAACAAAGAACATTTTAACAGACATGTTAAAAAATATCTTCAACAGAGTGCCAACTTGTGGGGATAAACAGTCAAGAGAGCCAGGCAGGTTGTTAAGAAGGAAACAGTGTATCCAGATTATCTAAATCGCTTTAATTAGAGCTAAAACTGAAAGTCAGTGCACAACACGTCAGAAATACTCTTCTTAACTGACTAATCTGGGGATTTGTTTCAAACCTGTCTGATCGTCTAACTGCAAAATCAGCGATCAACCTAAAGAGTTCAATGTTATGAGTCACACTAGTAGGGTCACATGTGCAACAGTTAAAAAGCAAAAACAAAACAGTGACAAATATACTTTGACATCTGCATAGGAAGAAATGTGCCAACGGTTCTAGCATTATTATCTAACTGCTTGCCAGATTTACACCAAATCAAAGTTCAATTTAGCTGTTAAATCTTTCTTTCTTTTTAAAGTTCCTGAATCCTAATTTCTAATGTTAGTTGTAATAATGTTTTGGCCAGGGGTGGAGTCTGGGGATGTCCATTCTCATATTTAATATCTACCTAAACTATGATTGGCTATTTGCCTGGTCCGAAGCGGGACTATTAAAATCAACTATATTTCCTGTTGCAACTGGCTGCTGATATCTTTCTTTGCATCTTATTGCAGCACATTTCATTTTCTTAAACTTTTAACTGCAACTTTGGACATACAAACTTCTTCTAAGTGACCCAGTTGGGACTCCTCGATTCAAAAAGTCTGGACACCTTATTTTGGCGAAGGCTAAGTGTAATTTCTGTAATTATTAAATATTACAAAAAAACTCTAAAGCTAACATTATTTTAGCGTGGAACTGGAAACAGGCAATCACTATTATTTCATATTATTAGCAAAAATGTATCGGCTTCAAAGATAATCACTGAAACAGCTGTGACTACCACAACAACCTAAAGCTCTGTGAAAGACACAACATGATTTTTACCAAATGGGTGAAAATGTATTAGTCAAACCCAAGCTTGTCTACTGACGAATCCCAAACAGATGTATACAGCTGCTGCTATTTGATCACAGCTTTCTGCGGACCACCAGCAAACACCATGCAGTGTTTATGTATACCTTCATATGGCCTTGTTGCACGGTGCTTTTAGACGGCACACTTACCAATTACACTCCATTTCATGCTCCAGTGAGACCAACCGGCTGGCAGGCGCATGTTACATAATGATATTACACAGCATTCACAACTCACTGTGTGTTAATGTGCACACACACAAGAAAACCTTGTACACATCATGGAATAAATGCAAGAAATCTGTTATTTAACCCAGTACATATGAAAGTCATGCGTGACATATGCACATACTGTACAACAGAGTGTCTTACACACATATACACCAATTACTTCTATCACTTTCATCTATCAACCTCTACATTTCTAATAGCCTGCAGTAAAACCATTTCAGCTCAAGGTGTTGTGGTTCGACACACACACCGTCAGTAGAGGCTATTTCACTTTAAAGGCAGCAGCAGAATCCAATGAATTTCCTCTCCATCGCTGCCTGTCTCTTCCTGTCTCTCTGCGGCCATCTGCTATAAATTACATGACCCAATGCCAAGGACAAGATTCACTGGAACAATATCAGCTGTGATTGCAGGGAAACTCTCTTTCCGTGTCCTTACACAAATTGATCTACAGCCCTGTTATCTTTACAGAAGCATCTAGGGATATTGTGCTGCATGTTTGTCTGCTTAGGCAGTGGGCCTAAAGAGGTGTTTACGTGCACTTGGTCGTCTTATATTGCATACTGGGAGCTTGGTTGCCATCAAACATTTTTTAAGGTATTGAGAAAAAGGAAAGAGCGATGACAGAAGAATGATGATGAGAATCCAAAAGTGAACAACAAGGTCATGCAAGGCTGACAGATCAATGGAAGGAGTTGCAGGGGGGATAAAGACAAACTGGTTCTTAATATTTGTGGCCAGGTGCAATGAAGCTGACAAGAGTCCAAAACCCTCTCAAAGCAAAAAAAAACAAACAAACAAAAGCCATGAATACCAGGCCAACAATTTCAGAAGTGGTGTCTGAGAAGATGTCACACCTCTTAAGTCGAACATGAAACCAAGCGAAGCTGAAGCAGAAAGGAAAATTCAAAACTTCAAACACCCATCACAAAATGGGCTAGGAGTGACGGGATAGGCAACACACAAGCACACACAAATAGAATAAAAAAAACCTCAGTGCTGTCTCCGTAACATCCAGCAGCCTGGGGGAGATTGCATTAAAAATTCATTCAGTGATTTATCTGCACTCTGCTTGGCAGGCCAACCCCGCCACACTCCGCTATCCTGTTTTATTGCTCTCTCTCTCTCTCTCTCTCTACCTCTGTATTTCAAATTACCAAATGCATGTGGTCTCAGACACAAGATAGCAGGCTTCACATATGTCAGTATATACTGTATAAGCAAGATCAAGCAAAACAAAATAAAAATAGGCACACTTAATGTCCTGATAAACATCAGATAAAAATAGACCTAGAAAACAATAAATATAAAGCACATGTCGTCAGTTTAAAAATGCATCTATCCATGATCAATCAAACTTGTTACTTACCCTCTACAAACTACTTTACCCAGCATCTTTTGCACTAACATAAAAAAAAAAAAATCAATCCATGCTCTTTGCCCCCTTTCAAGTGTCTGCATTGTTTAAACGGTTTATAGCCTCCCTATAAAATGTTACGACTGTTAAAAGCAGATGAGCCGACTTCACACAGTTTCTGGGCCTATTATTACAGTACTGAGTGTGACTACACAAGGGGAAATAAGAGAATACAAAAAATTGAATATACGATGATGTCATATAGAAGAAAATATTGTAAATACATTTGTTTCCAGTTTCCACAAAAGCTTTTGAGACCTTTTAGATTTTTGTATTCTGAAAGCCAATCTCGTTATTGGTCTACCTCAGGATGGGAAGCCCAGGTTCAGGTCCAGCTTGTGGCTCCTTTACCGTTGTCCTGCTCTGTGCAGTTTGCTAAAAAACGTAACTGTTCAAGGCCTCTCCACAAATGTGGATTAAGTGTCGAGCCCTCAACACCCCTGGATATATAGACTATTTTATCTTTAAGTCATTCAGAGTCACTATTGTTTTCCTGGTCTGGAAAGATTGTGCACAATATCTTGTATAATTACTGGGGCGGAGTTACCACCTGGCCTCATCAGAAGGTCATTTTTTTCAGTCTTGCTGCACCTGGCTATAAGTGTCAGTGTTTGTGAATCTGACACTTTTTGCAATGATGCCAATTTGCAGAGGAAGGGGCCAGTTTCCCTAGAATGACTGGATCATGGCTCATTTAAATATGTGCACAAAGACGCTGTTTGCTCTGCAGGGCAGTTAAGGGTGCAGTTAACCAATTGCAGGCCCTTATAATAAAAACAGCTTTAGTGAGTGTAAAAAGCTGTGTAATGCTTCAGGCCTTGTGCGTTTGTGTGAGCTCAAGGTAAAAAATAAAAAAATACATAAAAAAAGGAATGAAGAGTCCGACAAACGCAGAGGGCATGTGTATTCGTTACATGCTGGAAACTCAGCTGAAAGTCGATATAGAAACTGTTTTGGTATTTTGTGCGATTAATGCAGTGACAAGCCGGCAAGGTCACCGACAGTATTGCTGCATCACCAGAACTCAAGACTAATCAAAGCAGGCACACACACACACACACACACACACACACACACACACACACACACACACACACACACACACACACACACACACACACACACACACCTCATTACCCTTGGTTATTTATGAGCTCAACTGTGTGCCCCCTTCTGCAGCATCTTACCTTAGCATCTTCAGGAACATCTTGTTTTCGCTCAGTCTTTTTTCCCGTCTCCTCCCCCCTTTACTTTTCTCCCCCTTTTCTCTCTCCATCCACAGAGACCGCTATCCCACTCTTTTCCTTTTTGCACTCATTTTCCCTTCTTCCCCCTCTCTTGTTCTGGTTTTCAATAATTCATCTTCTGCTCTGCCCCCCATCCCCTAGGGAAAAGGCTCCCACTGTCACAGGCCGAGACCATTAATCAATCCCTCGTCTCTCTCTCTCTCAACCTCACTCCGTTCTTAACCTCCCTTCTCTCCCCCTTCATTTCTTCACTCTCCACTTCTTCTGCTTATCACGTCGGTTGTGTTTTTTTTATCTGCCATGTTTCTGTCCAGCATTTACTTTTTTATGGTTTTATCTGCCTCCACTTGTCATTCTCCCCCTCCAGTGTGCTCTTTGATCTTTTGAGACACCCTCTCCTCCCCCTAAACAACACAGCTTCCTGCTTCCTGTTCTGCACTTTCCTCCTCCCATCATGCAACTCAAGTGCTATTCAGTGGGAATTTTTTTTAATGTGTTTATCACGATTGATGTTGTGCTAGTAAAAAAAAAAGCGAAATAATGATGATTGTTTCTAAAAAGTTGAGGAAAACTTCAGACCAAAATCAGCCTGCGCCGTATTTTACATGTTTCTAGCTCCATGTAAGGCCTATTATACTTTTCAAACCATCCTTTTTGGTCTTGATTTTTCCTCCACTTTTTAAGTCTTTCTTTCCATGAGCACTGGTGGTTTGAGGGATACCAGAAGCGCTCCTGTTGGCAACTAAAAGTACAGGCAGGTTGTTATACAACTTTCCATTTACACCTCTATTTTTGAATACTCTTTGATTTCAAAACAATATGGCCGGTATTTTAATGCACTTGTTGACTTTTTTTTACAATCAATTCAAAGTTGTATTTTTTTTGGCCTTCATTAAACCTATAAGGCTTTAGAATAAGGAGTTATTAGCACATTTGGCCTTTAACCATGAACTTTAGAAATACAACCAATTTTTCATTATGATTATTTACAGATTACAACCAACATCTTATGATAAATGTTCTAATTAATCATAATGAGATGTTTTTTTATTGGATTGACTCTTAATCTAGAAGAAAAATCTAAAATAAATATTAATAAACAGTGAATTTCTTTTTTATGACTAAATATTTCCTATCAGTGTTATTATTAACAAGCAATCCAACAATACAAATATAACCAATGTATTTTCAAAGTAACACCATTTACATACTAATGGACAGCTTATAGTAAGTCTACTGGTTGTTCTTTTTTCTCTCTTTTAATCACTCTCTTTCTTTCCACAAGCAACTTGTCTGTGTTCTCTTGTTTCCTGTTATTGTTGGTCACCTTCCACGCCTCCTTTGTCTGTTTCATGCTTCTGTCTTCTCCTTCTCCTCTTTCCCAAAGTAAACATATGGCCTGTACAGTTCCTCCCCCAAAAAGGTCTCCCCTCCTGTCCACACTATGGCCTTTATCAGGTGTCTCCCTTTGACACACACACACACACACGTTTAGAACAAGTTTTCAGATTGAACTCTTTCCCCCTTTAGTAAAGGCTGTTTCCTTACTCCACACTAACACAAGCACAAGGCACACACTCACACACACCAATTACAGACCAGAGTGTATTACCATGCCTGCAGGAGGGCTGGTCACTCGTTTCCTTCCTTCTGTCGCCCGCTTCGGGAGTTCCGGGGCACGTGGTGGGGGTTGCAGAAGCAAGGTTATCGGTCAGGAAGTTGCCGTCAAGCCGTTTCCACTCCTCATGTGCTCCTCTGTCTCTCTGGCCAGCGCTGAACCAGAGGTTGTATGTCTAAGAGATAGAGAACCAGAGAGAGAGGATGGCAGGTCAATCAGTGTGTCAACACCTACAGAATGCGATCTCACTATCTTATACAAAAACAATCAAACTGGCAAGTGTTTTATCTTTACACTGCAGAAAAGTGGTGTGATTAAAAGATTTGACCCATTTGAAGATAGATATGTTGCCACACATAAACACAAGCACACACACAAGCACATGCAAGCACGCATACAGGATTTCATTCATTTTTCATGAGCTGGCAGCGATCTGAGGGAGAGGGGGTGTAATACAAACATACACTTGTTCTCATACACTAGAGTTACACACTTTAAGCCTAACACACCCACCTCCATTCACACACAGACACACACACAGACCAAGACATACACATGCACTCATGCAAACTAGCTGACTATGCACAAAGCTCTTTCTCCTGAGCCATGAGTCCACACCTTGGCCATCATTAAGGAACAGTGACATTTCCACCCGCTTTAAAAAAGAAGCAGCAACTATATTGCGTAAAGTAATCATAATGGGATTGCTGCTTGACTCTAAAATACAGTGTTTTACTACAAAGCCCTTCTGATTCACCCTGTGATGAATACTAGAGAGGGCGCCAGGAAACAAATTGAGAGCACAAAACTCGGAGCAGGATTTAAAATGACAGTGTTTAGTGCTTGGCGAGAGCCGGATCATTGAGCTACAGAGTGCTCCTTCCAATACAAAGTGAGACAGTAATGGTTCTAACCTTATCTCTTTCTGGCTTTTATTCCCTCTTAGAGAAGAAAAGGCATCGGTGAAGGTGGAGTAAAACAGAAAAAAAAAAGATGTGAAGGCTTTCTAAAAATTCTGAATACAAGGAATAAAGTGAATAAAAAATTCAATGCAAGTTAACCTATTCACCTTTTTGCTTTTCCATGCCTTGAATGACAATTTACTTCTGACCTGTACTTTCGGTGCATCTTAGTGCTCAGTAAAGTAAATATGCATCTGCTGTTGCTATGAAAACACTGCAGGCCAGTTTTATCAGGGGAGAGCAAGCAGAGGTGAAGAGATACACAACGTTCCTATTCACAACATGAAATGTCAACAGTATCACCACTGACAGTACACAGAAGCATCTGGTCACAGTCAGACCAGAGCAATGACATTTATAGAGCTGTGCAGGTCTGCGTGCGTTCACACACAGTTTAGGTGGGAGGATAACGGAGCAAAAAAGCATCTGTAACTCCAAACCTAACATTTATTTAGAATATTTGACTATTATGGAGTATGGTGGCAAAATACTTTATCTTTGGACGCTCCTTATTTGTACTGCTACTCAAAGAATGTTTGCTTCATACCTGGTATGTACTTTGTTTATGCAGCTAAAAGCACTTCACCCAAGTAAAATGATGACTCATTTAGCCAGAAAGAAATATCAAATACGACACCAACAAGATGACTGACAACATTCAAGAAAAACTTATTCTGACTCTGGTCTTAGGACTGTACTCAACAAACAAAAAAACATAGTTTGGCTGCAAATAAGGAGTATTTCCTGCACAAGCTTTTGTTTTCCTGATTTATCAGTTGGTTGTTTATCCATTAAATGTTAGAAAATACCCATCAGTCCTTAGGCGAAGAGCCTCATTACTGTTTTTGAGGTTGATTTGCAAAACCTGTAATCTTGATCATCATTACCAACAGTTTTCTCTACCTGACAAATAAACAGCCCCCTTAACTGTTGTTGCGTATCTCATCACTTGGAGACTACATCTCTATCTTACCGCTGTCAGGGGACAGAAAAGAAAAACACACATGTGATTTGTGCCTCTCTCAGAGCATCCGCTCGGTGAACGCTCAGTGGGATCGAGTACGAACAAGAACAACCGAGGAAGGGGAGAGAGAGCGATCATTTAGAGAGAAATGGGGTAGAATTGAAAATGAGCATGAACACGAGGAAGTAGGACAAGGACAGCGAGCAAATGAGGCAAAGAGAGAAACTATAAAGGAGAATACGGAGCAGCGCAGGGGGGCAGAGGGGAACCGGATAAACAGCGAACACCGTTATTGAGCCGGCCCCCTAGGGGCAAACAGACTCGACCAGAGGCTGCTCCTCATTTTCTCTCCAGCTCTCCCTGGCAGCCGGTCGGCCACACCGACAATTACCTCTTACACACCTGGCAGCGACAGTGTGCGTGTCTGTGCTCTGTTGTCGTGCCACTTACCTTACAGCCAACACTCCTCGCTTGAGGGGGGGGGCTCAGTTTGCTTCCACCATGGGTTGGCCACTTAGGATTGTGTGCACATGATTATAGCTCATGAACACAAACACACACACACACACACAGAGTCCCTGCCAGGAAGAATAATAACAATGTGCCAGCCCCTATTCTATTCTCATTATCAGAGCAATATAAAACAACAACACCAATTCTATCCATTTACTCCCCTCTCATGACACTTTCCTTCTCATTTTACTTTAATCAAAGTAAGTACACCTGAATAAAAAAAGACACTATGCACCTTGATAATACTTATGTTGTTTGTATCAAGTCATAATTAAAGGTCTGGATCACAAGGACGACAACATGTGTGAAGCCTTGAGTTCAGCAAATTGTCTGGTGACAATGAGGGGACGAGTGGGTTGCGCTGGAGACGAGTGAGGGGATATCAATGTCACATTATCAAACATTACCAGTCTTCTTACCTAACTGATTCATTAGTTTGCAGGAAGCTAGTTAACCCTTCATGTTCTACACAGAATAAGATCTCTTTTGTGATGGCTGCTAACTAGAGAGGCTTATTTTGAAGACTTACCGGTTGTACGTAGTACAGTCATGGCTCTTTTGACTAAATCTCCAGTGAGAGCGCAAGCCACCACGGAAGATTTATGAAATCCTTTCATCATGACTGCCAGAAATAATCAATGCATTATAAACCCTAAATGAGCCAACAAACCATGTACACTTAAAACACTGCATGCTAAATAGTGCTTGTATTAAAAATATTGTATTTTTTCATCAGAAAAAAAGAAAGAGAAGAAATACAAACAAGCTTCTTGGATGTCATGCGAGTAAATAAACCACAGTTCTACCCATACTGCTGGTCAGATATTTTCCTGTTAAACACTTACATATGGATGTAAAGATTCACCCTAAAATCGTGATAAATCTATTCAAAGTTGTCAAGATTCACATCGGTACTCTGAAAAAAGGATCACAATAATACCGTGAGCGTCAGCAGCTGTAGAGCAGAGGCGGTTGGCAGCTGCAGAGCAAGATTTTGAAATTGAGGACGCACCACCGTCTTTTAAATCGGAGGCGTGGAAGCATTTTGGCTTCCCCAAGACAGAAAATGAAAAGGTGAGAAGATAACAGACAAGACAAAAACTGTGTGCAAATATTGCAAGAAGACAGGGAACTACACAAATAGCACAGCCAACATGATGCAGCATTTAATCACAATGAGAAGGTCCAATCACCTCCCTTGATGTGAGAAAAAAAAACATGAAAAGGCCAAACCACACTGACTGAGAGTTTGCAACCCCTAAAGGAATCTTTTTCAGTCATAATTTGTCTAGTCTCATTTTGTAGAATAAATCGTGAGAGAATCGTATAGTGAACGCAGTATCGCAAATCGTATCGTATAGTGAGTTCAGTGAATCGTTACATCCCTATTCCTAGATATTAACAGATAGCAGCTTGCAGCTGCCACATGTCACTAGCAGCATCATTCCTAATCGTGCATCGCTTTAAGCATTGATATAGTTTACAGGTGAGTTATACACAATTAAAACAGTTCTCGTGAGAATATTTTTCTTGACAAAGACCGAAACTGTTTATATACCAGGCTGTAAACATGTTTAATTCTGTATTCGACTTTTTGATTAAGGACCTAATGGGGTTTGACTCGTTTTAGAAACCAGCCTCGAGTGGCCACTCCCAGAATTGCAGTTTTTGGGAACTTCCACGTTGACTATGTTTTCAGGTTGCTGCTGCTTGACGGCCTTCAGTAAAACCACTCTTTTCTTTCTCCCGCTTGGTTTGACAGTGGCCATGTTTGAACATGCATGCTTTCTTCTTGCCTCTTTCAAATCTAACTTTCCTAATTGTTCATGAAGCCCCCAGAGGCCTTCCTCCTCTTCGTTGGGTTCAACATTACCAATTATTACATCCTTCTCTGCATTTACACTCCATCTCTTTTTTTTTTTTTTCCTCCCTCCAGAATTCATTTTCCACTTTTCCCTCTTCTCTTTCTTATTAACGTCATCCTGGGTCATTAATGTGTGATTGTGTTTTTTCTCCAGAGAAGGAGAGGAGGAAAGAGGAAAGCTGCCTCATTAACGCTGTTGCTGGCTCATGCATAGATTTGCTCACAACACACACACACACACACACACACAGAGCGACGCCATCCCCTCAATTTGCTTCCATAATCAATGAATATATTTCTCCTACAAGTTTATGCATGAGGGAAAACACACATACACATCTGTTCCGTGTCCTTCCATCACCACGGGTTGGTGATTACGTCCCGTTTTCCCGACAGAGATGAAAAGAATCAGACAGAGGATGAGAAACAGGGGATGGGAAGTGATTGAAAGATGAAGGAGAGATAGCAGAGCTGGGGATTTTGCTGAGATGGCACTGAGCAGCAATTTACACCTTTCTCATCGGATAAGCATCAAATAAGATGAGCAGCGGAAGAGACGGGGTGAGGAAGACAGAGGATTGGAGAATGCCACAGAGAGTTGGCTAATTAGTGTGGGAGGACCTGATTTTACACAATGCATTCTCTCTTTAGAGTTTTGATTACCAGCCTACTACTGTATTCATCTTATTTTTAATCATCTATGTTTTAGAGTTTGTCAAATGTTGTTGACATATTTTTCATGGTTGGATTATCAAATTTAAAGCATTATTCACAGTGGCCTCAGGTTTCTTAAGAATACAAGAGTGTCATGATTTCATCAGATCTGTTTTTTTATTTGAATGTTTACAGTCACAATTTGCATATTCTCATGA